GTCTTGCAGCACTATCTATCTGTACTTTTTAAATTAGAAGTTAAATTAATTTCGTTGGAATGTCTAACCCTTATTCTACTCTTTCAGGTGTTGGAGCGATGACCTGGTCTCCACTTGCTTGTGGATTAATCACAGGGAAGTACAGTGATGGTGTACCAGAGTGCTCCAGAGCATCAATGAAGGTCAGTTTGATTTGACCGGCCCTCTTCTGGGATTTCTCTCACTGAAAGTCAGTATCAGTGTAATTCTCCCTGATCAGTGGGGTATTGCAGTGCTGTGTCAATGCTTTTTTCCATTTTGCTCACTGGTGAAGGGATACCAGTGGCTCAAGGAGCGAGTGAACAGCGAGGAGGGCCGCAGGCAGCTCGCTAAAATCAAGGAGCTCCATCTACTGGCGGACAGACTGGGCTGCACCGCTGCACAGTTAGCCATAGGTATGACCCAGGCAAACAACATAATTGTACAGTGGAGACATGCAGAGACTTGTTCTTTGTTTATTTTATTGTTGTGTGACTTGAGGTTAAGATTGAACTGCAAAACACACAAAACTGTTGCTTCAAAATGTTTGTTCACTTTTATTTCACACATGTAATAAAGAGAAAGTTCGGCAACAGATCTGAGCATGATTTAGTGCTTCACATGAATGTTTCCTCTGCACTAGCTCAGTGACCTTAATAGTTAATTACATGACTTTTTCCATAATATATGACCTTTCAAACAAATTTGGTAAACTGATCTTAGGTCAGAATTGCTGGCATGATCCCATTCCTGCAAAAAATCACTGGCTATCAGTTTTAACTGAGCTTGAGTTTTAGTGTTTTTCTCTCTTCTTTTTTTTTTTTTTTACAGCCTGGTGTCTGCGCAGTGAGGGAGTCAGCTCGGTACTTCTGGGTGTTTCTAATACAGACCAGCTACTTGAGAATCTGGGTGCCCTCCGGGTAGATTTGTTTTCTTTTTTTTTACTCCATATTGAGCCATAGTTGTTTGAAACAATAGATACACTACTTTGTGTGCAATACAATGTGACAAAAGTGACAACAAATAACAGATCACATTTTAAACTGATTGCCGTCCTTCCTCCTTGCAGATTTTATCCCAAATGACCCCTCAAACCATTACCGAGATTGATGCCCTGCTGGGAAATAAACCACACTCAAAGAAAGAGTTGCGTGCTTGAAGATGCAAATCTGAGTGAATGATGATGTTTCAAGAAGATGAAGAAGACACGGACAATGGGAAACATCGCTTTTTGCTCTGCTGTATACTCAACAACTTGCATGTTCTCAGCAACATTATGCTTCCAGTATGTGCGCATATCCATTTTGCGCAGTACATTGTGTCATGTATGAAAAAAAAATCTCTCAATTGTGACAAAAAAAAAACACTTCATAGATTGCTCACTGCCAATAGCTCACAGACTAATTATTTTTACAGAGGCGGAGGCTGAAGTTGGTTGGAGCGACAGGTCTCTGCCTTCCACAGAGACCAAGAGAGGTTGAAAGATATCCAACTGTTGTCAGAGCAGATTTGACTCTAATTAATCAAATCAAAAACACCTCTGTGCTAAAATGCAACTTTACTGAGTGAACGGTGCTTTCATTGGACATCTGAGTCTCCTCCCCTCGCAGCTGCCTGTTATTCTGTATGATGTTTAGTACCCAGCAGCCAGAGAGCTAAAGGTTAGTACTCATGTGTCTAGCCTAACATTTCCCATAGTGTGCATGTGACTGGTCTGCCACGCTCACTGCTTTACAGGGTTGGGAACAATGGATTACTTGTAGAGTCATTACTGTGATCTGACTGTTAAAAAACAACCTAATCCAGTCTGGTATAACTGTAGAACAGATCACATGTGTTTAAAAAACATGCAAATTGATTTATTACTTTCAAAGTAACGAAATATCGACAAACATAGAAATAATGATTGATTTTGGCACAAATTACATCTAAAGTAAATGGATGATATTGCAACAGCAATTGATTTATTGGCTTTTAAATTAGAGTTCAATATGTTAGTTATTACATTTTAAAATTGGCAATCAGGAACCAGCACTGTGTAAGACTTTGAAAACAACTTTCCCAACCCTGCTGCTTTCTCAGCAATGTTTTTGCCTCCTCTGTTTGTAAACTGTGCGCATGTCCCTTTAAGAGAGAATAGCCCCAACAGGGTGTAAATGTGGCATGGCTTTTATGGCTTATGTAGATTTGCAGTGCCCTTGTAAGCCATTTTTTACTCTAAATGGTCTGGCAGTTTGATCCAGGATCCGTTCTGATGAGCACTCTTGCTTTAAAGACTCTCTGCGGTCTGCAGACAGGGCTGTGTGTCCGTTTGACGTATAATCTTTGTATTGTTTCAATGATGCCATTCTTGTGAACGGCATCATTGTTCCTAAGTCAGAGGTGTGAGACATTTGGACTACATGGAAAGGTCACAGAGGATCTGACACAAACATTTGGAAACACTGTGGTGAACTTGTAGTTTTCAAATGATAGGACATAAATGATAAGTCTGAGTTTGTCAAATGTGATATTACTCTTGCCACAGGTCACTTGGGGTAAGATTTAGCAAATGTAACTTTTTTTTTTGTGGAAGCCAAAAAATATAGCTTCTCTGCTCATTTCTCTGGGAGTTCTCTCTCTGCATCATTTGTTTCATTGACTCTTGCACACATGCACAACTCATTTTATACAGTGCATTTCATGTCTTTTCCCTTTAGCTTTGTATTGATTTCAGTGCTTTGCAACGTGAAGGGGGGAGGGGCTTTTTTTTTGTGATTTCCCATGAAAACAGCACTAATCTTCAGAGTGGGGTTTGTTTTGATCCAGAAAAAAGTTGTTTTAGTTGGTACAAAGTTACATTGTTCTGTAAATAGTGTTATCTGTTTGTCAGTGAGATGACGGGATAAAGGTTAAATGTATAAACCATGAAAGAATTCCTGAAGAAGCAGCTGAAACATTGCTCCCCCCTGTGACTCTGTGATGATGTACAGTCCGACTGAGTGTAGCGTCAAGTGTATATAGGTTCTTCACTCAAACCTTGAAAATGTAATTCTGCCTGCATAACTTCTATTTTACTGTCTTGCAACAAAGAGAAACCAAAAGAAAGACACAACTCAGACTGAATGTATCATGTCTGTTGCTCAAACCTATCTAACCTAAAGGGAGCAAGCACATAACGGGTTTTAAAGGTATAATTTCTTTTTGTGTTTGAAACTGTTACATGAAAACCTGCAGAGCTGTCGTGCAAACATTAATATTGGGATTCAGAGAAAAGGTTGCCCAAAGGAGCTTAATGCACACACACCATTCTCACCTGTGTGTAGAAAGTCAGATAAGATTTTGTATTTACTATTCATAACCTGAACATATATGCTAACCTTCCACGTTAGCTAACCATCCATGTTAATATTTGGAATAAACTGTTTATTTGTGTATATGTTCAGGGATATAAATTTATGAGCTGCATATAACCCCCCCCCCCCCCCCCCCCCCAAAAAAACCCCCAAAACTTATTTAAGTGCACTATTACCCACAATGCTGTAAATTCAAGGATTATAATCTCAACCTCCATTCTAAGGTGCTCCTTTGAGCACCTTCCTGAAAAACACACTGTTGGTAGAAACACTTTATCTTCACAAAACTGTAATCCCGCAGTTTCATGTAAATATAGAAAGTAAGAGAAGCAGCAGCGGCGGTACGGTAGTGCGGTGGTTAGCACTGTCGCCTCACAGCAAGAAGGTCGTGGGTTCAAACCCTGGTTGCCCCTGACAGTTTGCATGTTCTCTCCGGGTACTCCAGCTTCCTCCCACCATCAAAGACATGCAGTCTAGGTTAATTGGCAACCCTAAATTGTCCTTAGGTGTGAGTGGTTGTTTGTCTATGTGTGGCCCTGCAGTGGACTGGCAACCTGTCCAGGGTGTACCCCGCCTTGCGCCTTCTTCCTGGCTCCAGCCCCCCCCGTGACGATGGATGGAGTTACACTTATTGTGAAATCTCTGACTGAGAAGTTTGTGCCCATGCAGACTTAGATTAAGCTGTTACAAGTTATCCCTGAGTGTTTTTCATTCTGGCAAAGAAAAAATTGGTTGACATGACCAGCGTTTACTGTACTTTGTTTTGCAGGCGCACTCATTATATGTGTAACAAAGGCCTCAGATATCTGAATTAGGCAATTACGATTTGAAAAATGGCACTTTTGAATTATTAACCATGCGTACACACAGATATACAATTGCATATCAAATGTCTTTGATTTACTAAATCAGAAGGCGATAATTTATATGTAATGGGAGAAAATTGTTTTATAAGGAATGCATAATATAATCAAGGAGAAGAGAGAGAAAATACATAACATGGAAATAACAAAATAAGGACAAGCACTACCAGTATTTTAACTGCTTAAAAAACAACAACTCATGGAATCCTACCAAATGTGTGCCTGCTCTTCACCTGTAGTCCCCAGGGTCATTCAAATGGATGGTACAAGAACAATGTGATAGCCTTGTGTCCAGAACTGTCTGTGCTGCTGAAAGAGCAGAGTCTGCTGAGACACCACAAATGCTTACCACTAACAGAAAACATCTGTGACGCCAACACTGGTATAGCGTCTGACTCCCCAATATCATCAGTGATAGATAAAAACATATGTGTGTGTATTACAATAAGCCACCCTCTGATAAAGATTATCATATGTGCTGGAAAACATTGGATTTGTCACCGCCAACACTGTTGGAGAAAAACAGGTTTCACTGCGTGATTCATCCTGCCTGTGAAGAAGCTGTTTGGATAAGATGATGAAAAACTGAAACCAAGGAAGTAGCAGGTCAGCAGATCAGAACATTTTAGATTTATGAGCTCCCACATCTAATAAAGTAACTTTCCTAGTTTTTGTACCAATTCAGTGATCTTGACATTTAAATACAGTCAGCAAAGTTGTGATCTCAATTGGCAACTACACTACAATCAGAAATAATTATGCACAAACTTGAACAAAAGAGGAGTCAGGTGATCACAGGTTACTTTTATTTTCTACTAAAATACATGTTTCATGCAGGTTTTGTCACTTCACTTAAACAGTCAACAAAAACACAATGAAATGAGTGTAGGACCACCTCGAGGCATTTTGCCTCACAACATTACACCAAGATGGATGTTAAAATCGCTCGGTACACGGTTTTGTGTGTGCAAATTCCTAGTGGCTGTCTGCTGTTACATGCTTTCATTTGATAACAGAACAGCCAGCCTATCGTACCTGGTTATATTCCTGCACTTAATGACATATAAAAAAAAACTCAGAAATCAAGCTAAGCAGAAAGTAAATAAGTAAATTATGTAACCAAGTGAAATATTGCTTTTGAAATAAAAGAAATAGTACAGTACAAATGAGCTCAAAGTAGCTTGCAGTAAGCATCTATTAATACATCAAACTCATAGAGATGGTACAGTTTAGTTGGTCTCTTCATTTATTAGCTGGATGTGGCAAGTAAAAAGAAAATGTTTATCTTTCCTGTCCACTTTTGTGGCAACCACTGTGACCTACAGAAAAAGGTTGTGCACTGACAGGCTGCGGCACAGCTTAAGTTTAAACAGTGGAGTAGAAGGCATATAGTGAATCAGAGTATACTAAAGGTAAAGGAGAGGCTGAGCATGGATGAGACTCTACGCTCTACTTTACAAGGCCTGCTATGATCTTCATATGAAAATAAAAAGAGGTAGGCAAATTTCTCTCCACTGCTCAGAAAATATTAAGATGCAGAAATGGGTACGAAGTACTTGTCAAACATGCTACACACAAAGCCTGTTTTAAAGATGACAGTCCAGCACAGCATGCTTGAAATCAGCCGCCCAACCTATTAAAAATAGTTTCCTTCCTTACACAGCTGGTTGCATATTAATACTATTTAGACTTAAATTACTTTTTCATGTAAACAAGGAGACATCAAAACACACGACTCATGCATGCATTATCATCTCCAGAATGTAGAACAACAGTAAACACAGACAGATGTTACTGCACATCATATTCAGTGGCTTTTGCTTGGATCTTTAGGTTGCAGGCAAACGCTAGAGAGATTTGTTAATACAGAAATAAACAACCACAATTCAGCGCATCTTCTTTTCTTTCTTACTGCCTGTCTGCATGACATCATTAAGGGTAAAGGACATGAACGCAATCTGCTCAAGTTCACTTTCTTTCCCGCACTCCATCAGGCACGAAAACTGATCCTTGTCTCCGTTGTAAGCCAGGTCTGAGTAGCCACTGGGTCCCTTGTGGATGATCCTGGGCCTGTCCCATCCTGATGAGTGCAGGGGGGATCGGTTCAAATACACGCCCATATCCCTTCTACTAGACTTGTTGGTCGGGTGGAGGAAGAGGAGCCAGGTTTGTGTGTCTGGAGACAAAAGCGATGTGCCACAAGCCTTGCTTTCAGCGTCATCATTTGGGACAAATTCAGGAGCGGGAAAGCCAATGACACTGCCTTGACAGCCTGAAGGTGGTTCGATGAGCTCTGGCGCAATGTGAGGTTTGTCAAAATACACGCCGCTGTTTTCACTCAGGGCCTCACATCTGTGGCCTCCAGTGTTGCGAGCATTGCAGTAAAGATGACTCCTGCCCTCGTGGTCAATGATCTCTGCCATTTCACATTCACTCGACTTTTTTCGAAGCATCTTACCTATACGCCATGTCTGGCCAAAGTCCTCACTATATACTGACAGTGCACGTGGGTAGACTGTAAAAGGAATGGGGAAGGAACAGCATCTGTAAGGGACATAATAGGCGTACGCAGGGATGATCAATCTGCCGTTCTCCAGCTGAACACCGTGGCCTGGGCCCACAGCAAATGTGGCCCACTTATGGAGAGTTTCGCCCATCACACTTTCTGTTAAGTCTTTCGCTTGACTCCAGGTTTGCCCATCATCACCGCTGCTAACACAGCAAAGACGCGCCTTGTTCTTACCTGTGATGATCTGCCTGAACTCTGTGGTATTTCCCCAGATACAAATGAAAAATAAAAACAGTGTTTTGCTGTTTTTTTCATACACTGGGCAGGGATTCATAGTGCGGTGATTAGGTAGACATGCTGTTGACAGCTCCTGACTGGACGACCACTGGAAAAACAAGGCAAAAGACAACTATTTAAAAGACGAGCACAGGTAATGTTGACAGCTATCAGTATGATTTTTAAACACAGAGCCCCACACCAAAAAGCTCCTGTTAAAAGGATTTTGATTGCTAGTGACGTCTTGAGCACCTTCCTCAGACTACAGTTATCAGAATCAATCTGCAGCTTATTGCATGTGAATAATAACCTGAACAGATCCATCATCTTTCAGCGTTCCTCTTCTCATAACAAGGATTTTGGCATCATGGTCACAGGGCGAAGATCTCTTCTCTGCAAAGGCGAGGAAGGTGTGACTGTGCCTCAGATAAAGGAGAGCAGGAATTCTGTATGTAATCCCACTTGGCTCTTTTTCAAACAAAGTTGTTTTGACCGGTTCCTCGCCGCTGCCACTCTTTGATGGTGTGTTTCCCATGGCGGATTAGAGTTCCTGTGAATAGAAAATGTTCCAAATGTATGACAAGTTTTAGCTTGTTTTCTCTTTTTTGGGCTTGTTATAACAATCTTTCAAGCACAGACTCGCAGTAATAGTTCACACTCCAGCAGCTCCTCATCACATTTGATTGCATTGTTACAAATAACATCTAATGTATATTGTGCATACATAACATAAGCCTTACCCTCACTCTCATCAAATTTGTCACCCCTGATCTTGCGCGAACGGCATTATACCGTCTAATGTCACTCCACACCGGGCACCTCTGATGTTCACGACACTGATGCTACGGGTTCATAAGGAAAGATGACGGCACTGAAGCGAGACCCACGGTCACACTCACTTCCGTATTCGCTTAGACGCGTTCTCACTAACCTAGACGTCGGTTTTAACTACCTACATCTGCTAGAGCTCCAAACATGCTGTTGTTTGAAGGAATTTCTCGTTTTATTGTGCTAGCACAATATCAAAATGACATACAATGTCGCTACTAACTGTTAGGAGACAGGAGTAATCCGGTAAACAGCGTCACGCATGCGCAAAGTGTTAAAACGAGCAACGACTCGAACGTAAATTCGTCTTGATAAGTGTTTGGATATCTTGTATTATATGTGAGGAAACCCTGGTGCATCTTCCTAATAACACATGTGTAATGTCTTAAAGTACCACAGACTGGCTAGGCAGCACTTAACTTATCACTGAATTAAATCTCTGGCTACCTGAGATCTCCGTTTTTTTCCGCCTTCGCCTGTAAAGAAACCCCCCGTGTTTACTTGTTACCGCCCTCCGCTGGACGGGAGGCGCAGCGCGCTCGTTTTACATGTTGTTGCTAGGACACAGAGCACTACAGTGTGGCTCAAGATCAAATACTTGTATTGTAACAAGTACTTTTGCCAGTTCTGTTCGTAAAAACAGCAGTCAATACTGCAATAAAGAGTTGTTTCGCCATAAATGGATCACATAAGCAAACAAGATGACCGCAGCATCATACAGCGTTAAATTTGATGATGGACAGACCTATCCCACTAAATGTTTCCCAGCCCGGACATTACTCCATCGAGGAAAAGAAGGTGGGTTAAATAAAATAAGCCTGTTCAAGAAACTTATACTACACTTATACTACAGTGTTATTAAGTATAGAAATGGGCTACAGTTAACACCTACAGGCTATTTTTTAACGATTAGTCTGGTGATTATTTAATTAATCAATATTTTGATCCCAAAGCTATTCATTAATGTAAATGTTTGGTAATAAGCTATTAGTTGTCATCAATTGATTTTCTGTCAATTGATCAGTTGTTTATTCTACTGGAAGAATATTAGTCTGTGTTAAGGCTAATGCTAATGCTAACTTTTTTATAATGGGGTATGAGGTTTTGCTTGTATATTTGGTTGTAACTTAATAGGCCTCTCTATTAATAAGCTATGAAACTGCAGGAACAGCCAGCTGGGACATTTTATCATTCAGTAGCATGAGTGGAGGAACTGGAGATCCACACAGAGATGCAATAAGGAAAAGTTGGAAAGGCATCTACATTGAGTCACACTGAGGGACTTTTGCAGGCAGCTAGAGCCTTACAAGAAAACATGGACTACATATCTCATCATAAACAGAATCAGAAATACTTTATTGATCCCCAGGGGAAATTCTTATGTTACAGTTCCTCACTTTGCACATCAAGTCATTAAAGGAATAGAAATAATAATAGAGAGTTGGTAAGTAGAACATATAAAGAAAATATAGGTACAGTCTAAAATATAAATAGGAGTGTGGAAAATGTACAGTATTTTACAGCATATGACAGAAGTGTATTAATAAATAGTAATGAATGAATAGTACTAATAATAATGAGTGATATGGGGAATGATAGTGTTGAGGAGGAATGGATTAAAAATCCTTAAAAATTGCAGTGTCTGGAAACCAGAGTACTGAAACAGAGAATATTGCACATTAAGTATTGAAACATGCACTCTTAGATAAATGATGAAGGACCTCTATCTAGGCAAATTATACAATCTAGTAACTAGGACATATATGGGCACATTGTTTTATTTATTTAATATAGAAGAGGTATGTATTCTTAACTCTGCTGACAGTTTGTACAGTAATACACTTTCTTTTGCACCATATACTGTAGAGTTGAAACGGTGAATAGCTTGTTGACAGAAAATTAATCAGCAACTGTTTTGATAATCATTTCATAGCTTCAGACATTAATCACGCAAAAATGCCAAATAATTTTTGGTTCCAGCTTCTGTGAATGTGTGCTTTACTCTGTTTTACATCATTATAAATTGAATAGCTTTGGGTTTTGGACTGTCGACAACAAGTCATTTTGATATTTAATTTCCTTGTAGGTGCTGGTCATTGGCTTTTGGCTTACAGAAAGGCCGAGGATCAGACATACAGGAATGTGTATAGAAGAATAAAAGAGACTGAGAACAACAGGGGGGCTGATACTACTCATGGTTACACATTAGATGGACCTTTTCTGGTAAGGCACTGAAATCTACTTATGTGACAGAAGATAGACCAGTCTATCACCTGTCGGTGACCCCAAACCATTAAAATTTAAAATGTTCTCTTGTAGCTCCAATTACATTGTGTTGATGAGCCGTCTGAGCTCTGCTCTGTTGATGTCAGTGAGCAGAAACTGAATTCTGTAAGAATCACTTTTCACATTTTGCATTTTAAAATGATTTGGTAGTCTGTGAGTAAAAACTGATGAAAGATTTTTCCCCTGACTGTGCACAGGTCAAGCCAGAGGATCTCAAGGTGTTTGGCAATGTAGCTTACATCGATGCATCTATTAACTCCCTCTCTTTAGGTGATTGTTTGTATATGTCATGCAGATTTACCTTCAGTGTACCTCTTGCTAAAAAAGGGCATTCGATTCAGTAAATGCATGTTGTTTTTCTTCAGGGTCTTTCAGCAATTTTGTGTCTTTAAGAGAACTCAATCTGTCGTTAAACGGGCTTTGCAACATGACATTTCATGCTGCTGACTTCCCTCATCTCCAGGTAAGATGACCGTCTTTGACATTTATTACTATTTTTAACATTGTCTGTTTGGATTACTAACATGTCACAGGAGTAATATACCACTAACATGACATTTTAGTCCTAACAAGAACCTGAAAGCCCTTTATTTCCATCTGACTTTCTCATGAAGGAAGAGCTTTGCTATTAACTGGTGAAAAAGAAACAACCTACTGCCAATTCAAGTTGTGGACTGATGCCTACATCATTCCTTTAAAAAAATAGATATTATACCTGTGCAATGATGAACAAAGTTGATGATGAGGGTAAAGTTCATTCATGCAATAGCAGGGCAGAGCAACAGCTAATCTAGAGAATCACCAGGTGTGTAACATCGATGATATTTCGAATCACACTCTGCTAATGGGCTTGTAACAGCAACTCCTCTTCTTTTCCCATTTCCTCTTCCTTTTGTGGTTATGTTTATCTAAATAAGTAATTTAAACCCTCACAGGTTTTGGATTTGTCCTACAACAGTTTGTCAGCTGATGACATCGTTTCCATTGGTCGGCTTCCACGTCTAAAAGTCTTTCATCTGACTGGAAATCAGCTTTGTCATCTTCCTCCCAATCTGGGTTCTTCCAACCTCGATGTCACTCAGCTGTTAGTACCTTATTTTCCATGAAGCAGCAATTTAAGAGTGACTAGGTACAGAGTTTGTCACAGAGTATTTTTGTATATATTATAACTATTTTTAAAAATACCACACCTATGATCAGACAGCTTGCTGTGTCAACTCAGATGATCTGCATTAAAGCGTGTACATTTGCTCTTCTTTGCATATAGTTTTATTCTATATATACACAGCAAATTAATCCTCTTTTAACAGTATTTTGTGCATTTGTTCTGGGGGGAAAACAGCTAAAACACAAGCAGATAACATATTAAATCAGATCTTTCAAAGGTTTAGTCTTGCTTTTCTATCCCAACTTAACACACACACAGACAGGTCTGTTCTGTCCCGCACTGCTTTGTGTAATAGCTGTTTTGCCAGTGAGTCGGTGGCAAAAAGCCTACTTTCCATATAAAAGTTATTACAAAAAACTTTGATATGAGTCATGTAACTATAGTCTGATGCTGCCTGCACTCTGCTTCTTGCAATTACTGCTGCAGAAAATATCTTTGATTGAGAATCTTTCTGGCAAATTATTACCACGCCTTTATGGTTACAGTTCATGAGTAAGAACAAATAGCAAGTTCTTTAACCGATAACCATGCAAATGTTTTATAGTTTTACAGTGAGCTCTCAAACCAGGTTTGTCAGTCATCCTTTGGCATGCACATTATGTATAAATCACGCTTATTGGTATACATAATCAGTCCATTTGTGTTGATAGTTTATTACAGAGAAAGACCACAATCCCAAGTGCGTTTAAAACACTTTTGAAATTGGCCAAGAGGGGGTGCACACGTGTTCCAAATTCACACTCCTGATACTTGTAAAGCAACTACACTCACATTCAACACACCTGCTTTACAGCCAGGTAGATAAAGTCAAGCAGAAAATGGCGTGCACACATTGTGTAACTTTTTGAATTTAACTTCATTATGAGATGCATTTGGTGTTTATCAGTATGGATTTTATGGTGCTGGTGAATTGTACTGTTCTTCTTTTCTTTTGTTCGTCTAGGCCGGCTGAAGAAGCAGACATGGCATTTAAAGCTCTTGAAGTTCTGATGCTTGACGATAACAAACTGTCCTCTGAAGTCTTCAACAGTCTTACAAACCTTAAGAGGTCTTGAAGTGGTTTAAAATTCGCTACATAAAACAAAGTATTACTTAAGTCCGACTTCTATCATAATGCAAAACAGCATTTGTGGTAACGTTCACTAAGCATTCTTCATTTTCAATCCCAGGCTGAAGTATTTAAACCTACAGGGGAACCGCGTTTCTGAAATACCATTTTTGCAAGTGACGGGCTGTTCAAAACCTTTGCAGATGTCTTCTGAAGAGCAAGCTGAAGAAGAGGGACTTGGTAAATGCTCAGTTGATAACTTGACAATCGACCCTGCTTGTCTCAGCATCCTCATAAAAAAAAAATATATTAAATCATTTTTATCCCCTCAATCCAGCAAACACAGAGCCAAATCCTAACACAGATGAACCTTTCAAGAGAATCTCACAGGTAATTAATTCAGCAGTCAATGTCTGATATATTTGTCTTCACTGTTTCTACTGCTCATATTTTAAATCTCTGCACTAAACTTGTGTGTGGCCTAATTGGTCTCCCTAGATATTTCATGAGGAAATCTGGGAAGAGTACTGCAAAGGATCCAGTTTGCCGCTACCAGAGCTTCAGGTCCTTAATTTAGCAGACAACAAGGTGTGTTGTAATAACGTACAAATAAATCAACCGTGGCCCCTTTTGGAAAATGACCTAACATGTCTCATCAGTGTTTTGTCATCAGATTGCAGAGGAAGAAGCGCTGATGGCCGCAGCTCTTTTCCCTATGCTGCGAGAAGTTGATATTCACTCCAACCCCCTGACCACACGGAGAAGTGGTAAGGCGTCTCTCTTCTGATATAAGAGGCCATTTTTAAAGCTTGGCTCTGAATTGTCAGTGCAGAAACTGCCTTCATGTCTTTGTTTGAACGCAGGAGACCCTCCCTTACTGACCTATTACCTCCAAGAGAGACTGGGGATAACAATAAAGCGTAAGAAGACACAAGAAGCCGTGAAGAAGCTCCCACTGAAGGTGTCCACTGATCCAAAATGGAAGGTCGGATGTGTTCTGCATTGCTGTTGTCCGATCATGACTCTCCAGATTTCACTATATGTAAGCAAAACAGTCACACTTTTGATATTTTTGTATTGCAGATGGAAGAAAGAATCCTGAAGGCGTCAAAGAAGCCATTGTTGATGGATGCGTCTCATCCTGCTCAGGCTGAGAAAAGTGAGGTGACTGTCGAGAGAACATCAGAATCCCTCCATGAAAACACAGAGCAGTTCTTTGTTACTCAGGTATGTACATGTTCCTCCTCTCTGTTGGGAAAAATAAATTGCTTCTCAAAAACACATGTTGCGTTTGTGCCTATGCGGTTTATCAGTCTCAACGTTTCAAACAATTTCTCTCTTTACTGAATGTTCTCTCATGTTCAGGTGACAGATGTTCCCGAATATGAGTTTGATCGTGGAGCTGATAAGAAAGAAACTGCAGAGAGGAACAATGACAGCGCCGTTCCTGAAAGATTCACATGCCATGAAATGTTGATGGATGCAAAACCAAACCCTGATGTGGTGGAGCCCTTTGGTGAGGACGGTGGTTTCCCCTGCAGCTATTTGTTTTTGCACATTTTCCTAAAGCCCCTTAAAAGCTTTGACTATACAATCACCCCATGGTGAAGAGGGATATTAAAGGTTTTTTTTTTCCTTCAACAGGAATTCAAACAGCTGTTCGGATGCTGGAACACAAGCTGAAGACTCTTAACGTTTACAGAGGCTCAAAACCAAAACTTGATAGCATCCAGACACCATACAGAGAGAGAGAGAAAAGGGTTCATTTGCTTTCACATTTAATATTAAAGTCAAATTTTAATAAATCTAGCAAGAACTGTAAAGAACAAGAATGTTATCACCTTCATGTCATGACTTAAAAAAACAACAACTTTTCTGTACTCAGATTAAGGAACTTCTACCTTTGAAACCAGTAAAGCAGCCAGCTGAAAGGGTTGATGAAATTATCAAGGAAATCAAAGAGAGTACAACGATAACAGAAGTCCCCTTAAGTAAGCACATTTCTGATACAGCCAATGTCAGCTAACTTCACCTTTCAGGACCTTTTCCTTTCTTCATGTAACACTTGTTTTTTTGTACAGGCAGCGCCATACACGGCACGGGTGTTAACAAGCAAGAATGTACGGAAGCTCTATCGCTGCTGAGGGACATGAAGACAAAGTACAAGATGGTCCACAAGAAAACAATGGAACAAGCAGCTGGCATCGAGTCTGATAGAAACAAAGTGGGCCTAAACCTCCACCTGTAGCAACAACATATAGCAGGCAATAGATCAGTATGTTGCAGTATATGTAGCTTCAGTCCCTTAAATATTATCTTTCAGAGCTTTAGGAAACAGCTACAGAGTTCAACAGAATCAAGTAGCAAGATCTGTTGCGACAGGGTGGTGTTCACTGAAATGACTGTGTTTGTGTTTGTTCCCATGAGTCAGTCTGATGGTTTCGAGCAGCTGCCGTGCCACCACTGCTATGACCAGAAATAATCAAGCATGCATGTATAGTATGCATCACCTGTTTGCCACTAGATTTCAGCTGAAACAATAAAAAGTTGACTTGGTCTTCTGGTGGGCAGAGCCAATTAAAACTGTGTACATTTGTATCTTTCCAGTCCAAAAAGAGGTTTCCGTGTTTCTTCTGGTCAAGCCCGTCTCTGCAAGCATATCATTGAAAGCCCAGCCTGCAGTTACTAATGATTAACATGTGTTTAATTCCAATATTAGGCAAGAGGGTGTGATAATTAGTAAGGAGCATGCTATAAGCTTCCATCCTGTGTGTCCTGAGCCTTGGGATAGATGCTACCTCACTACTTATACGTACAAAACAAAACAAGACTTATGGCTATGAGAGTTACTTTAAAACAGCAGTGATTTGATTAATTTGAAGTTACTAGTTAGTCGATCAGAATGGAGAAGGTACACGATTTGTTGACCGAGTGGACTTTTTCAACCAATGAATAGTACTAGTTGATGTCATGTTTTAACACTTTAAAATCAGCCAGAGCGCATTTATACTGCGGAGTGGTAGGAAATCGATCTAATTGATAGTTGAATAGTAACTTTGTGTAATATCTTCTGGTTTGTTGAATCTAGTGTGCCTGGTCTTATAGGTCAGATACAAAGATGGGATTGTAAGAATTCAGTGTAATCCTTTAGTGAAGCCAGCTGTGATCATTTGTTTTGGGCAGGAACAAGAGTATTTAGCGGAGCAGTAGGTGTCTGTGACTCCAGACCTCTGCAGTTCAATATAATTTGTAGTCCACATTCTGTAATACATAAATGATAATGTCTTGTAACATCATACATTGATATGTCATAAGTGACAGTACTACAAACTCAGAATGGATGCTTTGTCATGTTTCATTTCATGTTCTGTTTCTGTTGTTCATGCCCTTTTTGATTTCATGGTCTTGTCCTTCATATGATTTCAATTATGTTTCTTCAGAGCAGCTTGCAGATGTGGAATGCACTTTCAGCCTGGGAGGAATAAATCAATAGGTACTCTGAGGATATTTCATGGGATTCTACATTATTACATTCATGTGTGGATGTTTCCCTGCTTCTGTATGTATTGAATGGTAAATAATATTACAAACAGTAAGCGCCGTGCTTTCTGTATACAGCCAGCTGACGGTTACTATATCTAGTACGTTTTCATTCTATCACGTGTTTCACATTTTTTTTTTTTATTCTCTGCATATTTTGATATATAATATTTCTTTCTTTCAAAAATTTGCAAAGCCTCATTGAGTCATAATCTAAATGAAGTACACATTCAGAACAAATTACCAAATTATTTGTTTTGAATTTTTCTAAATAACAAACCAGAATTAAAAACATTCTTTAATGGCACAAACACAACTGAAAGCAGTAACTTTGCTGTCATGCAATTTGAAAATCTGCCTAAAAAAACACATGGTAGGCTGTCAACAATGTGTTGTTACAGTCACACAAGTCTCAAACATTTGAAGTTAAAAGTTACAACACCATATACAGTTTACATATATGACAGTGTGGTTTAATTTAACATTTAAATGTGTAAAGAGTGTCTGCCGGTAAAGTAATTCATACATTGAAAACAGTTTCCTGATCTATGCTAAACACCTGCCGTTCTGTCGGAGGGTCTGGTTTGGGTCTTTCCATCCTTAGCGGTATATTTGATGGTAATGAGGAGACTGTGCCAAGTGGCAGAGATTTGACACGAGGCAGAAATACTGTTTTCCGGTCCATTGGAGCTCAGTTCCACTCAGCAGAGCTTGTCTGTGTTGCAAAGATATCCCACAGTATCAAACACCACAGCTGCTATAAATGTCTAATGCTCAATGTGAACGGATTTTATGAAAATTCAGAGAACAATGTCTTCAGAGGTCCACAATACTTTCACAGCTCCATCTAGGCTCCAGTGCAACTCAAGTAAAGGCCTTTTGAGGATTTGTTATTGCTTTCAGTGATAGTTTAGTTTGTTGTTCCGCCAGTAAGTCCTGGCATGAATTTATTTTGCCCGACCAGAATGCTGTTACAAAGTAATTCTGAAGTGATAATGATTAGTACGTCAAGCATTTACAGTTGCAAGTGCAGTGTTTTCATGCTGGAATTCTTTTATGTAAGAAGAAAAATTATCATTGTGCAAGAGGTTGTTATACACGTTAGTTTTCCACAGTTTGGGGAAAATTATTTTGGTTTACGAATGTTGACAAGATGGTGAAGAATAGTATGATCGTGTTCCTCCATGTGTCCTTTGTCTACTTGTGTTTGTCCCAACTATTATAAATCTACTAAAACCTGCCTTGGCTATCCCTGCTAGATTTACACATTACTGACCATTTTCAATGCAATATCAACCAATCAATCATTTTGTTAAATATGACAAATCAAGATCCTCGATTATATCACCTTTTTCAATGCATCAAATTAATCCTGGTCATACTCCCTCACCACTACCTTTCTCTCCAATCCTAAAAGAATTTGGCTTCAGGAGACAAGTCAAAAGGGTAAAAACAAAAGCAATGAACAACTCCAGATTCCCCTGTGAGTCTGATCAGGTGATCATTGTGTAATCAAAGTGAGCCATGTTTGAATCTGTCAGCACAGTCTACACTTTACACTGTGAGAAAAAAGTTTCTTTATATAGATTTAGATAACAAATATTGGCTAAGAAGACAGCCACAAAAACTCAATCAAAAAAACAAAACAATCAATTTTAATTTGATTTGATTGAGTACAGCACAACATCATCATGAAATACCGTTTAAGGGGCACTTTTGGTATTGTACCATGAAGTTGGGGTACTCACAAGAGACATACAGTATTACAAAAAAGGATGATCAAAATTGAAGCAGCAGAGGTCGAGATCATATTGTTCAAGTTCCAGAAACACTGGATCCTACATTTCCCACAATGCAACTTGATTGCATCTTTTTTTGGAACCTCCCTGTCTGGTAAATGCCCACATCGTATTCAAACCCCACACCACATATTATAGTCTCTAAGCCCAAGCTGAGATAACCCTGATGAGATCACTATGACATGATCATAATTTGTCAAACTTCAGAGCCACACAGGACATTATAAAACCGTTTTCACAGTTAGTAGTACTCCTCATGGCAAGTTAACTGAACATGATATATAAAATCGAAAAAATTTTTGGGGGTAATGTTACTTTGATTATGCTCCAAGCTAATTCCCATTTCTAACTGTATACCAGTGGACATCTGTGCTATCTGGCCTGCTAACATTGGTTTATTTACACCTATGCTAAATAAGTGAAAATGGTCTCCTAATGTGACAAATCACTTCAAGACTGAAGATAATTACACAATCCACATATGCCTATGATTTATTTCCTACAAATATGTAAAGTTATTCCAGAAGTTTCAATGTCATGAGCACACAGTTCTTTTTGCTTATCCGCTCATTTTATTTTTATTGGACTCCACACATTAACATTAACATCCACACAGAATAAACACAGACAAAAAGGTCTCAGTTAAGCTTTGTAGCCTCTTTTGTTCTTCACATGAAAAACTGATGAGGTGAGTTATTAACTGAAAACACATTTTCATCCATGCTCTCGGTGATATAACAGAATCTGGCAGGCGAGCGAGATACTCTATCCAAATGCAAAAATAACAAAAGACATGGTGGAGAAAGGCATTATCGGTCTGTGTCTTAGGCAAGACAGATCTTTGTTTATATATATATCTATATTTGTTTTGTGTCTGTATATTTTAACGCAATACATTTTCACATCTGGAGCAGTCATTGCTGCAGTCAAGCCTAAGAAATGTTTGGGTAAGGTTTGTTTGACTCTCAAATTGAGGGCCAACAGTTAAGCTTTGAGAATAACCCTGTGGAGACTCAGACACCAGATTTGGCTCAGGAAGAATAGGCCTGAATACCTCATCAACACTCCTCATTACTCAAGTGCCAAATGAGTTCACTGCAGACTGGACCTATTCATTATTTCTTTTGATGGACAATTGAACTGTAACACACTTATCATGTAATCCTGGAAAGGCTGAAAAGAGGCCATTATTAATTACAGATCATAACCGTCAAGTTGTTGTTGTTCTTCTTTATTCTGTGGAACAAAAGATCTCGCTGTGGTCAGTCTTTACTAGTTTACAATCATTACAAGCACGTGTTTAAAATTTCGACCTTTAAACTGAGCTGCTCAGGATGAGAGGATGAAGACCAAAGTGTTCATGACATGTAGCCCGGTATTGTCCATGTTTTCTTGGCCAGACTCCAAACATCAGCTAAAATGATCAGGGCCAACTTAATTAAATAGAGGGTAAAGGTGTAAAAAACAGAGCCCTTGATAGATTTCGGAAGTATTTTGATGAAGTATAAACTCAGGGGTTCTTCTGAGCACCTTAATCAGCTATGAAAGCAAACACATCTATCAGACTTAATTAACTTAACACAATTTGGCTCCCTTTGAATCAAAAGACTGCCTGATTGATTTGCAATGCTTCAGTTCCCCACAAACACTGTATGCATCAGCGAGGAACTACTCGCTGCAGCACACGAGGAAATGTTTTATTTCATCTTCTGAAATTAGTTCAACTCTGCTGCTTTCCTTTGCAAGACAGCACAATGATTGCAGAGCTACAAACAGTCAATCTGTAATGAAATCCTGTATGAGCATTAACATTAAGGATCTCAATGTTTTTTCCACGACATGCATGAGCTGTTGTTTGTAAAGGAAGTGACATAATAAAACAACAGCAAATGAGATTTGTTAATATCACAGTAATGGCTCAGAAGTGCTTCCAATCCTGGGCCGAGTCATGACCCCGAGTCTCACATTTTCTTCACTTCTCACTGAATCTGGGCTACATGGGCAGCAGGGCGGAGTACACATACACAGAGAGCTGACCGACTGCATGATTTATACCTACTGACTGCCCCCAGCTGTTACAATTGCCAGAGCCAAGACTAAGCATGCATAGCTGAGTTGGGCCCTGAGACGAATGCGAACATCCACAAAATGAGGACTGATAGGATCTCCATCCAAAATGACAAAGACATCGAAACATGCAGTGCCAGAAAGCAAGTTTGTAGAAAATAAAACTTGTTTTAAACCTGCACTTTCATCAAATAATGACCTGCATGGGAAAATGGCAACGTGCAAACTTTAATTACTAATTTAAGTTGGCAGCAATAAAGTAGAACACCCCTTTCTCACCCTTCTGACCGGAACAGCCTCTTGGAACAACGAAGGGAGAGACTGTTGTAAACTGCCTGGTCCAACAGTTTACACAAAAAAAATGATGGCCTTTTTGAGAGAGTAATGAAGGCATGCAAGGGAAGTGCGTCTGTTTCAAAATATTGTTTCATGCCTTTAGTGAGAGACAGACAGGGCTGTCTGGCGCTAAATGTGAAGGAAACACAATGAGTCATTGTGGAAGGGGAGGGGACAGAGAGAGAGAGAGAGCACGTCGGCAGTGCACAGAGAAGGGAGGCAATATTATTCTGAAGCACCCACTCAGTCCACCAAATCTGCCGTTGCACACTGACGGAGTCATGGGAACCACGGTGATAATTTGACACCTGTTGATCAAACAGGCCTGCGGAAAGACTGCACACAGTGCTGCTGAGCAAGAAGACTTAAACCAAAAGGCTTTCATGGATCATGTTTACATGGGTTCTAGTGAGCTCATTATTTCAGTGACTTTGTCTATAATAGTGTTATTTTAAAGTTTGGATTTGTCTTTGGTGGCATTTAATATTAATTAGTTTGTTGGCTTACATTTAGATCTAAAAGCACAATCTCACCCATTTATACAGCAAAAATTCAAAACACTGAGGTATTTACTCATTCTGTCGTAAACTATAAGGTTTAGGTTTACAGTGGGCCCTCTGATAGCCAGATGAAGAGCCACCCAAAATATTTATGTGTTGTCAGTAATTCAAAATTGCACAATATAATTTATGGGCAAATTATGCTATTGCTTCTTTGCACTTTTTCTTTTGTCAATTGCGGGCAACAGAAGCAAGCCCTGAACATCCCAGCGGACAGTTGCTTATTTACACATCCAGCTGTTACAGAGCAGTATTATCATTCATTTGGAATGTGTTTCTGAAAACCTGGTGGATCTAAGTCCCATATTCACTAGGACTGACCCCCAATTCATAGTTTCCGTCACGTGACATGCACGGTGACCTGGAGGGCAAAACAACGGACCAACATAGCGGCTCACACCTAGACTCTCCCGTAGAGACGCCGCAAAAGCAGTCAAATTTTATTTGTATCACCTTTTAACGTAAGAAAAAGAAAGATGTGAACACAAACTGCAAGTGTTGGGCCTATCTGATCCATATAACGTTACAGCATCTGCTGCCGCATTTCTGCTGTTAAAAACCGCCAGGTCCCTGCTGCTGCTCGACTGCGGTATGTTTATGTTTACCTTATGGGGAATCCCTCACCTAACACAGCCCAGGCTTGTCTCCTTGATTAGTAAATCTGAAAGCTCAACAACCATCCAGCATTTGGCAACGCAAAAACTAACAAAGTCAAAGTAACAGTGTAATGTTAGGCTATCACTTGCATATTGGTTGGCAGGCAACGGAAATTAACGTCTTTTTGCCCTCCAAGGAGGCGTTTTTATTGGAGTGTGATGTCACATGAAAACTATGAATAGTGGAAGATTCGATGCTTCGATCAGCGGAACCCGATTTAACTGCCAATCTCAATTTAGACTCATCGCAGGTCCGTCATGAAAGTAGGATCATACCATTTTGGCATTATGGGGGAGCATCACTACCGGTTTTCTCCCAATAAGTTAATATAGCTACAGCCTATTATGATATAAATGTTAACATATAATGCTGTAAATAAAAATGTGAAAAGAAAGAAGCTTTGAATAAATATTTTTCAAGTACGTGAACATATGCAAAATTGTAACACTACCCCTTAAGGTAAGGGACATTGGTGCTCTTGATAAACATATAATAACAAACATATTATTCGACTATCAGTCGACTATAGACAATTCTGTTTCAAATATATAAATCCTTAGTCGGGGACAGCCCTAATATTCACTTTGTTTTTGGTCTCCACCATCCCCTGAACAGCTAAATGCTTCACTATGTTCGCTAGCTAGCTGCTAGTTCTCTTTTGGTGCTGGGCAGGAAGTGTATATAGGGTTTTTGAGCTTTTTTGCTAAGAACAGCAGCTGCTGTGGCCAAAAACAACGCTAAGAGAGTGGTGGAAGTCAGGTTGTGGGTCAAATACCAAAAACCAATAAGCTCAAAGACTGAGGGAACTGTGATCACTATGAGTGACCCCTTTCAAATTCAAGTAGTAGTGTGATCCTTTGCTAATAGCTAATTGTTTTTGAAATGCCCTTCAAAACGGTGGAAAAACAAATGTTAAAATGTTGAAGTTGTTAAAGAGGCTTTAATATTTTTATTAAAGCCTCTTTAACAACTTCAACATTTTAACATTTGTTTTTCCACGGTTTTGAAGGGCATTTCAAAAACAACATCAGTTTGATATAGCTGAAATCAGTGAATCATATACTGTATGTATCTCTATATACTGAATCAATCTAGCCAACGCTTTAGTCAAAATATTGAATCAATACAATAGTACGGCTTTTTCCAGCTCCTATTGTCCATCCTAAATAACTAGAATAAGAGGAGAGACTCAACATACAAGTGTTAAGGATAAGGCGCTATGAAAGGAAAATCTCATTATATTTAATTTTGAGGAAAAAGTACAATGATTACACGGATGCCAGTCAGCAGAACCCTGGTCTTATCAAGCTACGTTAACTAATAAGTGATTTTTATGAAACTGCTGGGTTTGGGAAAATATTCTGTGTATTGTGGGTGAAGGGAGTACTTTGAACTTCTGCTTTTGATTTGCATGCCTCTGATAACATTTCATCTCCAGCAGGAAAACAGTTTATCTGGCCTTCCGGAGTTCTATTTAATGGAGGCCTTCAGGCAACGACAGTGTAAGCAATGCCTTCAACAGCAACTGTGAGCTCTGAGTCACATTAAGCCTGTCTCAAGTACATATTCCCTCTGTCTCTGTATGACTCCATCTCCTTTACTTGTGGGCTGTGCATCATTTAAATGTGAAAGTTACAGCTAGAAACAAACCACACAAAAATGTTCACTGGTGTAAAACACTGCAAAACCTTTATGGGTTACAATTGTGAGCAGAGGTACAGAGTGCATTCAGCTACATCAACTATGACCACTTTAAAATACAAATATTTCTGGTATGTGGCGTTTATAAAATGTTTAAAAAAAAACCTGTGGCTGCATAAAAATAGCTACAGTAGGTCTATATTTTGACATCAGAAAGAATTGTGTAGGCTGTTTTCACACTAACAAATACACAGCTGACACAGCTGTGCATTCACTGGCAGATTTAACCCCAATGCCTCTTGCTACTTATATGCAAAAAACATTCAGTCAAATGTATGTACACAGAGATCATACAAGAACCAATACACTTTAAATAAGGTGACAAAACCTCAATTTGTATTTACAATAAATATGATAATCATATAGCATCCTTGAAAAAACCTTAACATTCTGACCAGAGCGTGGCCCTTTTCCCAACATATTCTAACACAAATTATCTTCATATGTTTAAAGCAAAGCGCTTGTTTAAGAAATACTGATACTACCTCAATAATTCAATAGATGCACATATTAACATCATTGAGTCAACGCAGCCAGCTCTGACCATTTTTACACTCCACATTCACATTTACCCTTGTCACATTTTGTTTAGATCTTTCATCCTAAATCCACCCAATCTAATAATGTTTGAATCATGACAGGAGGCAGAACTATCTGCCAGTTTATGGCCATGGCAGTTATCAAAAACTGCTACTGCCTGTTTTGTAATCTAATAATTTACAAATATAAATATGTGAGGATTAAAACATGATGGACAACAATGTATAAATTGATAAACAATATAAATGAGAAGTTCTACTTGAATTACAGGAATCACGCGGGACATCCAATTGCAACATGTATGAATAAAGTATGTACCATGTAGTTATTCAGTATATAAAGAGTGTCAAAGGAGGAAAAACTATTAGGGTGAACACAGGTCTTCAATGTGCTTGGGATTGAGGAAAGTCACCATCTCCCGAATGCCGTCTTCACAAATTGTGGTCTGAGATGCTTTACTCAGATTGTCTCCCTCCTCTTTAAATTTTCTCCAAGTGTCTGAAAAAATGAACTTGAATTATTATAAATATGTCATCAAAACCAAAATTTTCATGTTAAAATAAGTCAGAAGGATTTAACCAAATTATACTAAGTTACTTAGTATTTCCAGAATCTAAAAATAAAAAAGCCATCGTGAAACAAACCTTCATCAAGTGTTGTAAGTAATGTGTAATTCTCTGGATGATCCATAATATCTTTTCTTTGAACATCCCCAATTTCCATTAACTGTAAAAGACCTGTATAAGTAAAAAACTCAGATGAGAGTCATACATTGGTACAGCAATACTGTATATATTGGAATACTGTATATATGAGAATAACTATTTTATATATATAAAATAGTTTGACATTTTGGAAAATATGCATATTCGTTTTCTTGCAAACATTATACAGGTGTCTGTCAGACACAGTCGCGTGTGTCTTTTAAGCTGGAATTATTCTTCTGCGGAGATACACCAACTCTTGCAAAGCTACACTTAGCTCAAGAGACGAGACGATACACAATATTGTTTTCACGAGAATGAGAACATATTTTATCAATGTTTTAAAGAAATCTTCTATTACGAAATATATATTTGGAAAAATTGGAATTTTATTTGACTGAAACTCACAAAATGCATAACAATGCAGGTGCATTTTGAAATGTTGCTTGCATATGAGAAGCAGTCTAGGCCAAAATGTAATACTTTGCTTGAACATACATACATACATACATACATACATACTGTCATTTGTAAGTATGTGTATATGCGCAAACTGAGTATGTATATATTTGCAAGGTGAGTATGAATATATGTTTGAGGTGTGGGAGGCAGGGATCCGTAGTACAGTGGTTAATGCTCTTAATGCTGTTGCCTTTGGTGTGGGAGACCGGGGACTGATTCCCACTCACTGCATCTGTCATTGTAGCAGGTCTGGGGATTATGAGGACATGAAAACCTTCTTTTAATTATCTAACTATGATTCTTATTTCTGTGTGATTGCCAAATTATTAATTTTGTTCAGCGTCTTTATATTTTCAGATGAATGTAACCTAAGCTGTACCCTTGTATGGAGACGCAACAATATTAACAGGTCGTGCTGTCTGTCAGCCTCTCAGCTCCACAGGAGATGCTGCTGCTGAGTTTGTTAACCCTGGGAAGAGGGAAATACTGCATTTTCTGTTCTAGAAGGAGCAACTTTAAACTCCTGTGACAGCCCACTGTAGTGAGGGAGGAGAATCTGCAACTCACAGACCGGGAGCTGATCAAATAAAAGCTTCAGCTAAATCAGCCACTGCCAATGTAATGTGTTGACAGCAAAACAAGTGAAGGTTTATTTCTGGTTGATTAACTCATTTTATACATGTGGTTGAGTGGTGCAGTGGCAGAGAAATTGTTTTTCATGCTACCACACAAACGATTTAAAAATCGCAGGGGCATCTTCTATGCTAATTTCACCCTCACACTCTGTCATGCTGATATCACGAGACAGCTTTTCACCTCGGCGAGAAATATTGTCACATTTTAATATTATACCCCTACCATTTCCTGATTCCAGGAATGATTCCATTGTGGTTAACACTGACACCCCTATCATGATAAATATGAAGCTACAGCCAGCAGCCAGATAGCTAAGCTTATCAGAAAAACTAGGGTTGTTTACCTGCTTCCAGCTAACAAAATAATTTGAGCAACACCCAAAGCTAAGCCATTAATTAAAGCGTACAAGAATGTTCTGATTTTAAGCGGGGCTATGTGCTAGACTATGTCTTGACTACCTGTTTCCTCCAGTTTCCAGTCTTTATGCTAAAGTAACGCTAACTGGCTGGTGTTTAATATCTAACAGCCAGATATCAGAGTGGTGTCAATCTTCACACCGAGGACGAAAAAGCGTATTCTTTGCAAAATGTTGAACCATTCCTTTAATATAGTTCTCACCAGTAGTTACAGTACCTTCTACAGCCTTCCATACTTGCACTTCAACCTCAGCAGTACTTTGTCTTTCAATAGCAATGACCCTAACTGTGTTGGGAGGGTCAACTTTCAAAGATGATTCAACTTTATACACCAAGAGGTTATTTTTATATCCGAGATAACACTGGGTCTGGTTACTTTCAGCTTTACTTTCTAGAAGAGAGAAAAACAGATTGTGTGGATAATGTTAACAGGCAATCAACATCATCCATGTAAACAGTTTATTATGTCATGAGCCGTGTTTGACTACCTGGACAAGTCTTGCAGCACTTTCCCACTGATTTCATAGGATGTTGGCAAGGGTACTGGCTAGGGCATGTGATGCGCTTGCAGTCCTGGAGGCCATCAGTACAAGTGCACAGGATGCATTCCAGGACCTTCCCCAAAACTGGGTGCCACATGTCTCCATGAGAGTACGTCTTGCCATTGTATAAACATGCTGAGAGAAATGGAAAACATCTGAGCGTTGTGCTACATATGGAAACGATTGTAAAGTTGTGAGGAACGAATCCATAAAATCAAATACCTATACAGGATCTTTCTGTTTTGACAAAGTCTCACCTCTTTGGTGTTTCCTCTGCAACAAAATCTTCACAGTAGTCTCCGAAGCCCCTTTGAGGTTAAGTTTACTGAGGCTCAGGCCTCTAGGGGATGTTCTGACCCTGGGTGGAGTGGCCCGGTCAGACCGCCCCCTGCTCTGCTCTCCAGAACACTGGTCCACTGAATGCCTCTTTTGTAAACACAGATATAATAAAACAGTTATCTTCAATCTATTCAGCTATTGGCTCATTTGCTTTTCCCCCTGAGTGATAGCTGAAGGAGCATCAAATTTGCTCTAAATCATAAAAAGTTATAGCCCGACTCCAGATCTCTGAATCACCGCCCACATCTCAGATTTCTTCAACAATTCAAATAGAATGGCATTAAAATTCAGTCTTGTTATCAGGCCAAGTGATCCATGGATCATGAGGGAAAATGTGAAACCTTTGTATTTGATGATCAATATGGATGTTTCAGAAACAATCTAGATAATGTGATGCCAAGTCGAGCAAATTATCCTTGCAGTCCTTAAGAGAAAATAATTAATTTGCTTGACCCCGTGCACAGGGAGCTCAAAGGTCAGCATCAGCTATAGAGTAGTTCTCTTAAAGCTTGTAGTGATCTCAGTGTCACATACAGCGACTCTTCATCTGAGCAGATTCTTCCAGTTCTTCAAGGTGCAGCTACTCAACTGATAACTCCACACTGCTATCTTTCACTTTCTTGTGATAAATCAGCAAGAACATACCACGCCTCTGTACAGTTGTTGATTTCCATCCTCAGTTGATGAGGACCCACTGGTGCCATAATCTAAAGACCAGAGACAAAGATCAAAACCAACTGTAAGCACAATGCAATTAAAATGGTAAACATGGCAACCATTTACATATTGGCACGGCTGTAATTAATTAATCTACTTTCAGTGGAATTGTATCATGATGAAATTATCATATTGTGATGTTTTTTGTGTTTTGTCTGATATAGTGCATTACAGTGGAACACCTTTCATTGCAATGAGCATCATTTTGCATCTACATCAATTTCAGAAAAAACATTCTTATTAATCAGTCATATATTAGCCCAATATCTAAATGTTTTTATTGCAGGTAAGAAACAGAGTAAAGTAATTTTCTCAGCTTGGATGAGTTTATCTACCTTTACACACCAAACAGCAGGTATCTGGAACTGAGACTGGTGAGAAACAGGTGATTGGTTGGCATGTTTTCAGAGCGCAGAAGATGTTCCCATTCTGAAAAAAGAAAGGGAAGGAAAAATGTCTTTTTTTTTTTTTTTAAATGTCCAAGTATGCGCTCCAGAAGGCAAGGCTTAAGTAGTCCAAGGTTTCTGCAGGTCTCTAGACTTGATCACATATTTATATGGACTCACATTTATATCACCTGGAATAACAGTCCAAACGAACTACAACTACTTCTGAGGTCTAATGTTATTGAAAAACACCAGCAAGAACATAATGAGACATTGTGACACATAGACACACTCACACACCAGTGGTGGCTGAGCTGTTGTGCAAAGTGCTAACCTGCTTATCAGAAGGGTTAAGGATTCAGTGTAATGCTCAAGGACACTCAAACCAGCAATGTTAGAAATAATGGACAAACTGCTCTAATACCTGAGCAACCTCAAGGCACCAGTAATATGTTGATAAACATGATTTGTACTGTTCTTTGTACTGTGTATACCAGGAATAATTTGGTTAAATACATTGTTATGTGTTGTCTCCTTGGAAACATCTGTTAACACCACTTAATAACTAAAATTAACTTCTGACATCATGTGGCCCTTTAAAGGACAACTCAAATGTGATGTCAATTTTGGCTTCACTTCCGCTTTCCCCTCCAATATCTGCCTTTTGTTTTCTAAATTAAAACATTCATCCACTTGCTTGTGCCGTTCACAACCAGGCAAAGCCAGCACACGAACCAGAGGGCGGAGACAGTCTTCAAGCACACGCAACATTACATGGCCCTCAAAAAACACAACACACACATCACCTATCCATTTCCTGAGCTTGGACAGCACCTTGGTCAGCTAGGGTTGTTTTTAAATGTGGCATAAAAATAAATTTTAACTTGAATTTGAACACATGCACATAATGAATTTTGGAAAAATCTAAAATGCTTCAATGCACAAACCATGAGACATTTTAACACATAGGCCTCTGCTGTAACTTGTGGGAATATTGTACAAGTGCCGCCTTCATGTACTACTGTTGAGGCTCCAGCAATATTTATGATGTGAAAAGGTTTTGGTGAGCATACACATGTATTCTAATTGTTAGAAAGACATCATGTTGAGTCCTTAACATTTTTCATTTATCTATTAATTAAAGGCTAAATTAGAGTGCTTAAATATGTTATTTGAGAGGAAAAGAAGAATTACCAAACAAAGAAGGATTGTGAGGAATTCTTAAATATTCAGTGGGAAACATTTTATTGCACTACTGGCAAGGGTTGAGGTTTTGTTGTGTACCTTTTAAGATTAAGATAGCCTACATCTGAAAAGTCTTTATTTACTTTATTTATTTCTATTTCTTAGTGTTTTATTTTTAATGTCTTTTAAATCACATGGTAAATTTGGTCTGAAGAGTTTCACTACATGCAGTCTAAGAACCTGAGCTGACATAAAATGACAGACCTTAAATGCATTACATTACTATATGCATTTAGGATATGATATTCTTTCACTAAATCAATAAAAACCCAGTCTGACTGAAAAAAAAACAAATGTAGTATATTAGATGTAACTTACAGAGCATGTGCACATAACACACTGATTGCTTTGCTTGGATGGGAAGAGGTCGTGCTTGGTGAAGGTCTCCCCTGGCTGGTAAATACTTCCATTATACCTGCAGGACTTCACTGAAGCTCTCAGCCCTGCAGGGATCCTGGGCTCATCTGAAGAGGGCACACCACACAGGACAGGAGGCTTTAAGGTCAAAACATATATCGTTTCTCTATAAAACTCAGAACTCAGGAGCTCAAGAGGTGTATGGAGGAGGACAGTCTACCTGTGCATCTTGGACAACACTGCTGAGGCTCAGCTACAGGGTTTTCACATGGCAGAGCAGGACACTTGATTGTGTTACATTTCACATGGCCTGTCTAAGAGAGAGCATTGTTAGAGTTTACAAGCCCTGGCTACCTTTAAATTCCAACCACTATGGTCAGCAACTCAGAGCTCCTCAGACAGCAGAACAACTTTAGTGTAATATTCCTTTAGATGTTTGTTCTGAAGTGATAAAGTTTGTAAATGTTTAAAGGCACCTCTGTGCAGACACAGCGCATGCAGAACATGAATCCGATGGGCTCCAGATAGGGATGCCAGCTGTCTCCTGGGCTGTATGTCTTGTCTTTGAAAGTACATACCACCCCGGACCCTGGGTGTCGAAAAATAAGGAGGATGAGCTACAGTGTTGAGAAACGCATATGGCGCAGATGAACCGAACACAAAGGCATTTGCATATTATGACCTAAGACATTTTGTCGAAGCGAAAATCAGCGCCAAGTGGTGCAAACTGCAGGAAAACATGTGAAACTGCAAATGCCACTGATCCCACTACAGCCCATAATAAGCATTAAGACAAACAGGAATCAGGATTTAACTTATGAGGCTTCTGTGCCAGAATGAGCTAAATAATCTTTACACCAAAGTTCTGTTTCAAGCAATAGAGGATGCTGATCTTAAAATATCCGCTCAGATTCGGCTAAGTCCGACAAAACTTATTTTAGTCACATTTTCATGATTTTCCTTATTTGAAGCTCCACACGTTTGCTCAGGACCGAATAAGCATCAGCAGGGTCTGGTCTTACCTTTCCGGGGTTTTAGCTCTGCGTCTGCAAACCAAACGATGAAACACAACAAAAACATGGACTTCATTTTTTTACATGTGCGTGACAGAGCCTTCAAGGCGCAATAAATATGTTTCTGCGAGGCAGAAACTGCAGGACAGTGTGAAACAAGCGTTAAAAAAAAAACAAAAAAAAAACAGAGTCCAACATTTTTCTCGATTGATCTATGGCGCCTCCTTCAGGAGAAAAGAGGTAGCGCCGGCTCAAGAACAGCGATGAGCGCAGTGACCGCATGACCCTAAAATTAATTACAAATTGAGTTAGCAAATAACAGAGGTGGAGAAAGTGTTGTCAAGTGGTTTTTAACTTTAATTGTATTTCTACACACATACATCCATATTGGTAGCTAAATGTACTTACAGTATAAGTAGGCTACGAATTAGTCAACAGAATGGCCACTCTCAAGATGTGCTATACTGTTGTTATTTATTATTAGTATTGTACATTAATGTGCATTCTAATGTTCTAAAGTCTTAGCTGGTTTTCCTATAATTATAGCCAGTTACTCTAGCTGACAGATCCATTTATTGAGGTGAAAAGTACATTTCCCCCTAAAATAAAGTGAAGTAGAAATTATTCCCATAAATGAACATTACCTCCCCCGCCCAACATAATATTTTGTCTAATAGGTGTCCTCATGAGAGAAGAGTATAAATACACAAGTGAGTGGTTGATATATTGAACTTTATGTAAGTAGATACCCAGTGAGCGCACTGGTCTAATCAAGTCATTATACTATCATCTATTACATTCAGTTATAGTGAAATTATCACTGAATGCCAATCCAATTCTATGGTCATTTTTGAACCTGTATTTTGTGTTGTTGTATTGGATTCAATGATATTATACAGGGTTTTTGTTATTTCAAGTTTCTTGCATCCCGCACTAAACCAAAACCTGTCAAAATAATGCAGAAATGAGGGCAACAGACAGTTCTCCATTTATTAACACACACACACAGGGGATAAAACTGTACAACCAGGTTAAATAGACGTCAAGATGCAAAGAAACTTACTTGAAGAAATTACAAACAAAAGAGATATGACCAATATCTCTACGGTGACTCTGGTACTTCAACTCCCTCCTATGATGCCTAGTGGGAGCAATCACATGGCTGAATAACATTTAGTTTGGAGTAACAGTTTAATTCCGTCAGATGTATGGAAACAAAGAAAATCTCAAGACTTGATCACAGATTCCTAAAATTCACAAAACTGCATTTTCTAAAAAGTAAATCCTCTTGCAGTGGAGGAAATGGCATGCTTCCAACTTTCTGAATTTCTCAAACAAGTTGAGACAAAGAAAAAAAAAAAAATCAACAAAGAAACCAAAAGCTGGTCAATAGACAGCATTCCTTTTTCCCTTTTAAAAACTGCACTGGATATCTAGAACAGTGTGGCCCTTTTCAGCCATGCCTTACTTTCAAAAACATCATCCAGCCTGGCCAAAGCTTAAAATATGCCAATATTTTAATGTTAAAATGTCACTTATAACTGTAAATGCACATCTCCATCAAAAATGTCAATCGCTGCCAAAAAACGTCTTTTAAAAATGATGTTAGAAGATATCGGGTGTTTGTAAGTAGCTAAGCACCCACATTGGAAAAAAAAAAAAAAAAAAGATATATATCTCAAAACAACTTTCTCATATTACATAGGGTTCAATCATGTGTGTGAGAAGCTTGATAACTGACAGAATGTCACAGGCAAATGTGACCGACACACCTCAGTACGTCCGCCAAAAATGACTTCATGATTTTAACACAGTCAAGGTGGCACACATACTACAACGCCTGTCATGAAAGTTATACTTTTAAATGTCTGAAGTACAGGATATTAAATTATAGGATGAATTGGACTGACCCCCCCCCCAAACACACACACAGACAGACAGACAGACAGACACACACACACACACACACACACACACTAGACAGAAATAAAAAAAATGGTGGAGACTCAAGAACTGCTGCTGTGTGCCCCTGTGTCGTCCTCTTGCTTCTGCCGTTTCTTCGCTCTGATTTCATTCATGGCTTCCTCTATGGAGCGAGTGTCCCTCTTGTTGGCTACCGGCACTGGGATAGAAAAACACCAACTTATTGACTAAAAAATGAGGTGAAAGGACAACTGTGGTGTGAATTATGTAAGGTCAAATCACAGTGTGTTTCCATGAGACAGATCAGTGCGACGACATATGCTCACCGCAGCCATAAGCACTGTTGGCCTCTAGTGTATGTGCTGCATCTTTTGCAGCAGAGGTACCAATAAGGTGACTGTACTTGTCTCTGTAGTTCGAGTTGGGACATGCCTCTGGCTTCTTCGTCTGACTGGATACGGTTTCTTCCAATGCAGCTTTTTCCTGCAGTGAAGAGGAAAGAAAAAGTCAAGACAGTGCAAAGGAAAATCAAGGGAAAAAATCCACCCGATATTATTGTTAGATGTCATCAAGCTGCAATGTGAAATGCATTGTAGGAGTTAATCTGCAATTAATATTTAATACTTATATTTAGATATACCTGCTTCCCTTCAACATGACTCACCAGGTACTACTTCAGCAAATTAATTCACATATTTCCAAGAAGGTACTGGGAATTGTAGCAATCAACTGTATATTATGAATATTAACTACATGGAAAGGTCAATGCATAAATTACCATATCCATGGCCAAAGAACCTTTCAAGTCAATAAAATCTTAGGGTCATGTATTTACATTTCTTTATGCTCCATTGGGATTACGGTCTAGGAAATAGGTGTTTCTTTCATGAACATTTTTCAAACATCAAAACATATTTTGATTTCACAGTAAACTTAAGATAATAAATGTCTGAATGTAAGAATAGCTGTTTTACTTTTAGTCTGCGGCGTTGCTCTGCGAGCTGGGGATCCCACTCCTCTCCTTTGCGATAGGCTTCCAGCTCCTCATCTGAAGGAGCAAACTCCTGCCACAGCACAAACTGGAAATTAGTCACTTCCCACATTATTTCAGTATACAACACTGGATTAAAAACATAGTATTCAGACCTTCTTGAAAAGCATGACGTAACGGCTCTCCTCATCCTCCCCGAAAGAAAAAGAAGTCAGACCGGCCACTTCTGCAACATCATGCCTACGAGACAGTAAGAAATTAAATGTAAATAGCTGTGAGCATCTGACGCATCATGTCATGTTTCTTGTCTAAAGCGGCTTACTGTAATGTTAAGTATCTGAAGTAATGACTACTTACAATATACTCCTCTCAATCTTCCCCATAGGATTGTATTTTCTTTTCTGTTGCAAACTGTCTTGAATGAAATCCGACACCTCCTTCTCCATCTACACAGGGGATTATGCATGTGTTAAACAGTGGTGAAGGGAGCCCACAGGAGCTCTGTGCCAGAACTACACTCAGTGGCCACTTTATTAGGTACATTTGTACAATCTAATGCAATCTGATCCAACTGCTCTGCCATGAAGTCTACTTTTATTATGCCTTGCTGGTGACACTGTCTTTGAGGGGTCCATTCAGCTTAATGTTTTAGCATTGAGGTCACAGTGGTGGTGTTAGACTGCATCATACTGAGACTGACTGAGATAAACACCTCTCGGTACAATGTAGTCCACTGTCCTCTAATTATGACTACAATAATAATTGCATTTAAACTTTTCAGACAATATCCACAAAACATTGTAAAGGTAGGATTTCTGGCAGAACAGTTGTGTTGGATCGCATTAGACTGTTCAGATGTACAGAGTGTATACTCAGTGTGTATCAGATGTGACATTTGAGTTCTCACCTTTTTCCTGAACTCTGCTTTCTTTCTTTTCTCGTTTTCCTCCATCTTCTTGAGTCTTGCTGCTTGCTCTTAAAAGAACAGAAGTTAACATTGTCATGGTTTTTTTGTTGTATGCCCGTTAGCATTTAAAGTTTCCGCTGTAAACACAGAATCTGTAGTCTTACAGCTACAACTTGTATGTTTTTTTTAGACTTAAGTAGCAAAAAGGCCAATCAAGAGATCGACTTCCTGTGATGCCAAAACCGCATTTCCAGATCATTCTGGGCTTGTGTACAGAGTGACTCAAATCCTATTATTTGTTGCATGCCTCTACAGGCAAACAGCGTCTGATGTTTTATTGGAAGGCATGCTCATAACAGTTAATTAAACGGATTTGGCCACTTTTTCATCACGTCTTGTGGCTATGTCTTCTGATAAAGTTGTTTATTTGTAGCAATACTCCACTCAGCATTGCCACAGTGTTACACTTTTGAGCTAGGCTCTGGAGAAGTGAAGTTGCAACAAATACAGCAGGTTTATAATAGAAATAAAGGGAGTCTAATGGAAATGTAGCTTGTTTGTAACTCTGAAAGTCTCAAAGGAAGCGTTTGGTATCTAAGCTAGGAATTTTGTGCACATTAAATCTACATTATTTACCTTTATCTACTGAAACTCACTAAAATGTTCACAGCCGAGCTTGTGATGGTTTTTGGAAAGTGTAAGCTGTGAATTCATTGGCAGCTGGTAAAGGTAACTGAAACGGAACAATGTAAAATAGGGTCTTACAAGAAATTAGATTGACTCGATTTAGTTACTTGAGTGCTTACAGTAACACGGAAGTGCTACTTGTACTTTGTTTCATCATGGTCTCACGTGTAAATTAATCCCTTCATAAAAATGCAACACAACGGATCGGGCCAGCTGATATCGCCATTTTGATTGTAATGCTTCTAAACAGCGAACAATTTTCAACATAACTGCTGCATAGTGATTCAGTGCATCAGAAGGTTTCGTTTCACATCACTAGTCCAGACTCTGACCTCCGGTCTGCGGCAGTGTAGGGATTTCACGTTCCGCTGAAGCGGTGCTAAACCCGGGCCAACAGCCCTTATCGTTAGCTAACGTTACTTGAAAGCTCAACTGGCCAACGGCAGCACCAGAAATGCTTTCCTCATTTTTATATACATACTCACTCCCTTTTCAACTAACGCAAATGAGTCGTTATTTAGGCAACACGTTATGTACCTCGAGCCTTTCGTCGGCTTTCCTGGTCGCCGACTGTTGGAGGCTTTTCCATCGAGTTTAAGATTGAGCCTAAGAGGTCCGCCATCTTGGAATGAAGGGGCAGCTCCAGACTGTTGCTGGCTGCAGCTGTACTAGCTGCGCAGGCGCAGATGGCCAGAGTTTTTTCTTCGCTGTTCGGAAGAAAACGGCGTGTAAAATATCTATCGCCACCCTCTGTACCACAAAGTTTACTACGCTGTAATATCACTTTTTAAAAACACAATTGAACTTCTTTCTTATTTGTTAATGAGAAGGCGCCTGTCTGTCCCCAGTCTTTCCATTCGATATTTATTCTGTAGCCTACTATTTGTTTACAATTTACAAAAATACTTGACTTGTATATCGATGCTGCATGTTGTTGGTCATTTTTGCTCTTTATATTAAATCTATAACAGTATGCAGGTAGGCCTACTAGTTCTATGTTTATTTTGACCTTTGTTCTGCTTTGTTGTCCTTGTTTGTCTATTTCTATATTCCTGTAAATTGTTCTTAGAACTTAAGTAGCTCCACTAAGATCAATTTAAAACCTTGTATGTGTAGGCTACACATACTTGGCGAGTAAAGCTGATTCTGAATCCAACATAATTTTACTACTCAAACATTGCGAGTGCAGAGATAAGATTTTAAATATGATTTTCAAGTTGTTTTATTCGATGAGATAGTTGAGACCCCCTGAGTCACTTTAATAGAAAACTGACAGCAGAGTGACATAAAACTTAATCTTATAAGGCCCATTCTGAAATGTGCCAAACTGTGGGGTCTCAAATATAGGTGATGGCTTTCTGCACTATTGCAGCCCCACTATGTGATTAATAGAAGATGGGTGCATATAACTGTAATCCAGAGTAACCTTAAATCAACAATCTGTAGATCATTCATTGGGAAGAAAACATTTCTGACTTAACTCTCAAAATGTTACAATTTCTCCAAAAAGGAGTGTGCAGCCGTGGGATTTGAGGTCAGGGACTGCTGTTTGAATATGTTTTTGCTATTCTTCAGGAAAAGTGCTTTTATATAAGTAGAAAGAGAGAACAAACAAGCAAACAAACATCTTTACATACAATAAGCACTAGGGGGCATGCTATACAAGTACATGTCTGTGTGTCCATGCCTTGTGTTGTTATTGTTTTGTTAACAATCCTCCCCTGTGTCATTGGAGCAGCATGTTTTGTGCAGTTTGATTGTAGTTTCACAGCATCAGCAATAATACACCAACTACTGTCATATTCAGATGTGGGCAGAACAGAGGGCGGCCCATTAAAAATACAGCAGGACAGACAGATTTGTACTGTATACTTGGTCTAAAACAAACAGATTCCGATTAATACTTAGTAATTATAATTTTTGAAGGGCTTGTTGTTTTGAAGGAGTCCTTTGTCGTCTATTTACTCCTTTGTCCAGACATAGGGGTAAGTACAATACCTACATACCTAATAACCCACAGTACCGCTAAATCACAGAGGTTGAATAATAAACCATTGTTTTGCACATTGAGCACAGAAAATTACAGTATTGATCTTTGTGAAATGCCCAAAAAGAAATTCAATTTCTCAAGAAGCTGCAGCTGTTGACCAAGCTGAGTAAGCTCATAGGCCTGACCTTCAGCCCTCAGACTGCCATCATTCAGCGAGACTTTGTTATTGTGATTTGGACAGAGCACGATGGACTCCTCCCCCGTGGTTGAAATGCTGTATAAATGCAGCATCAGCCTGTCCACAACAGTGTCTGAAAGCTTATTGGTACCCAAACATGAAGGGACTGAGCTTGGTTCTTCTTGTGCTTCTCCTGATGCTCGCAGTTGGGGAGGGTAAGCAATGGGTACACCCATTTTCTTACTACGTGAGATCAAATCAAGCAAATCATGATATGGCAAATGCTCAGACTACACTGTACTCATACTAGGCCTGTCTGTGTGGCTTCGAAGAGAAGTACAACAAATTACGAAATCACAACTTGACAGTTTACTTAACCATTAAGTAATTTAAATTTTCTTTTAAAGATTAATGGATTAACTGTGGCTTTGGTCAACAAGTTAAGTCAGTATTTATCAGGAATATGGGAACATATTTGTGAATCTTTGATAATTATCTACAGGCAATGATCCAGAAATGCAGTACTGGACATGTGGGTATAGAGGACTCTGCAGACGGTTCTGCTATGCTCAGGAGTACATTGTTGGTCATCACGGTTGCCCTCGAAGATACAGGTAGGCCCGCTGATCATAAAGTAGAACTGGTGCATAACTTTGTTTTTATCCCACTTCTATTACCAAGACAACACTATATGAGTTTCAGAACAACAAAAACACATACTCTAAGAAGATAAAGCAAAAGAGAAATTATTGCTAATTGCAAGATTAATACAAGTTGTACTGTGCTCCTTTTCAGGTGCTGTGCTACGCGGCCTTAGCACCTGTCCTCTATGGAAGAGCCTGGAAAATGCCACATCGTAAGGGGTTACACCTTCAGTACAGGTAGCTGGGATCCTGGTAACTGACGCAGCATTCATCTGGATAAACCATTTTGACAACTTTATTTTTACTCTCAATCAACCCCTCTTGGACTTCTAACATGCTGTGCGATCTGACAATGAGGGGTTTTGATGTGAACTTTATATAGTTAGGCCATTACAGCGATTAGGTGTGCAGCTGTAATCCTGTTGCTCAGAGATTTTGTTTGAGTTATTATTGCCTGAAACTTTGTGTGACTGATCCTGGACCTAACATTTAATAACGTTTCATAATAAATCCTTTGTGAACAGTTACTTCTACTCTGAAAATGCAGTGTTGCCAATAAATGCATGGAAATAAATCTTCTGATGTTTGGTTTGTTGTTAGGATCATCATCACTACCAGCTTTAAATATACTGTCCCAAGTATAATGAAAGTAATTCTTTCACATCTGAAAAACATCTAAATATAGTGTTAACACCTCTATGTGCAGCCCATTACCTACTTGGCTTGACCTTGGGGAAATAACAGCATGGAAAGCAGTCTGAGTTGAGTCTGGCACGCTTTCGCTGTACCAACAGCAGACAATAATGGTCAAGTGACTGACCCCAATGGCTATGATGGAATAGAGCTTTTGTGAATGAAGTGATACGTCTCTTGTCTGTGTTTATGTTGTCTCACCATTCTGTCTGTCTGGACAACATTGTCTGGAACAGACGGACAACGTCACGATCCACCAGTCACGATTGCAAAGCAAATTCATTGTCATATTGTCTGCCTCCTACCGATTGGAAGGTAAATGATCTTTGTAGGTGAACTTTGGCTTTGTTTGTTTTTTCTTTTTCTTTTAGGAAGCAACACGACAGTCAGCTGAAAACAAACATACCGTACTCACCTCAGTTTGAGGCAACACCATTACTGAACAACGAAAAGCCTATCAAATTATAAAATACAGACATTTAGCAACCAACTAACTCTATGGTCTAAACATTTTATTATCCATCTGGTTGCTGAATGTTGTACCAGTTAACTGAGACAGCATCTGAAGATGGTTGATGACTGGCCCGGGCTAGTAGGTGTTAAAGGCATGGATGCTATTTGTAAACATGAGCCACTGTATTGTGCCCTGCATTGTCATCTGCGTTGAATCTTTGTACTATTCAGGCAGTGCAGCGTGACCAAACTACAAAGGGGTAAAACCCCCACAAACCTGTTTACATGAGGCTGTCTGTCTTCACAAAGCTGACAGCAACAGCTTGAAACAGAAGGTTATTACAGGATGGATGGATTTTTGACCTGTAACAGTATAGATTAATTAGATCTTGAAGATCGTGCGGGTGCTTTTTGTAAGTTGAAGACAAATTAATCACACAAACATGTTCTAATGTTAGCAGGAAACTGACCTTTAACACTGAAGCCAATGTAGCTTAAAATAAGTCCTTAGGGTTCCTCAAGTCTGAGTGACTTCTGAAAAGAAATGGAAACTTTAATGAGAAACTGTGAATCTCGATGACTGATGGCATCATCAAGGAGTGTGTAAAAGCATCAAGGATGATTTAGAGGATCTTTGGCTTCTCTCCATTATATAAAACAATACATTTACCATTTGAGCATTTAGCCATATCAACCTTTCATGTTCAAATGTTTTTTTGAGAGTATCTTCTGCTTTGGTGCTGAGACTCACTCCTAAGACTAAATTTTTTTGTGAAGTGAACAAAATAAAATGGCCTCCACCGAACTTGATGGCACCGTGTAATTTAAATAAAAGAAAAAAACCTTTCACACCTTCCAGTTCCTCATCTAGAAAAAAAACAAATGCGGACCTTGAATGAGCCACTCAGAAATTCAGACCTTCTGTTAATCTTTATGATAAAGGGTGAATCTTTGGCCACATCAGAGCACCCTGGATAATGTTTTCTTTTAAGGACGTTTGACTCCATTCATAATTCCCTCTGTCTTGCAGTTGCAGGCTGACCCTGCAGTTGAGAGGCATTTCCTGTGACGCTGCCAACGCTATAATCCACCGGTGCGATGGTGTTATCCAAGCGTTGAGCAATAATGGGATTTCATTTGAAGTAGTGCCTGAGATAGTTTGTGCAGAACCTCTTGGCTCAATTTTTAACAACCACATCTAGAAAAGTATTAAAATGAAGATGAATGAATAGGTAATGACGGCCATTACACAGAAGTAACACCTGTACAAAATTATGCAATCCACTACAATAGCCTTGCAATAAACATAATCATTGAGATGCTATTGTAATTGGCTTGCATTATAATGTACAGGTTTTTATCATTTGTGTATACACCCTGCTCCAACCAAACTTTGGACTGTAGGTATTCATGTCGACTTTTATAGTGAGACTTAAACTATACGAAAAAAACATTTCCCTTTATATAGCAGCAGCCAGAAAGCACACAGTAATAGGTCACAGGGCTACACATCCCACATACTTGAAAAAGAAATCCTGTTGACATCAATCAACTTTAACCCGTTTCCAGATGAATGGGATTGATTTACTTTAAACTCCCCACTTACTTCAAAGTAGATTACTAATCTCTTGACTCATGACAGCAGCCTAACAAAACCACATAACAGATAATTGATTTACTTGGACTACAAAAATACATTTAAAGAGTAGTCCATAACTTAAAGGTGGGGTAAGAGTTTGTAATCCAATACATGTCTTTTTGTCAAATTCAGCAAATATCTCCTCTTAGCAACAAAGTGGCCCGGAACCTGCTTCACAGCACTATTCCAACCGTTCCAGCCATGATGTGCATGCCAGGTAACTTTAAATGACTTTCCCATGGACATTCAGGTTACTTTCTAGTTAGGAGTACATGTCAAAAGACCCCAGTTTTACTTTGAGGAGGAAGATGGAGCACTTGAGAGAGGAAATGGAACAGAAAGGACTCTTATGGCAGGTCAGGACCCTCACGGCTTGTTTCTCCCTTTGCATTTTACACAAAGTATTGACTCACTCACAGGCCAAAACCTGCCAGATCCTGTTTTTGTTCCAGTGTTTATACCTTTAAGTGAATAAGTTATGGCTAAATCAAATGACCAGAGGATTGTGTGTGTCACAACTGTACTTGGTTTCTAAGTTAGGTCACTCTGTATCAACCCTATTGACTCATCTCATCGTGTTAGACCTATGTGGTAGAGTATGTTGTGCATAAAGTGAAATTTTTCAATCTGGTGTTTGTGCACAGCCCTGGCTCTATAAAAGGGAAACAAACATAGTGGCCGCCATCCTGCCACACATCACTATTCCAGCCATGATTTGTGTGTCAGGTAACGTTAAATGACTTGCCCACTGACATTCAACTTACTTTCAAGTTTGCCAAGACATGCTGCTGTTGTGATGGTAGCTTTAGTAGCAGGAGAGTTGTGAGTAGGGTAGTTTGAGGTAAGACGCCTTCCCCAAGCTCAATGTCTATTTGCTGACACATAAAATAATATTTTTTTGGGGTTTTCTGGATCCTGGAGATGGCCATGCTTATGGTAACATAATATAATGTAAAATAAATACCTACAGTTGACATCTTACGCCAGACATACTAATCTAGCATTTTACTACTTTAACTACTACTTTAACCAAAAACTATATAAAAAAAAAAATCTTTCTCTCTAAACAATTGCATAGTTTATCTCAAGGCTCCCCTTAATGTAAATATACACATAAAAATTTAACACACAATTGCTTAGCTGGTGTGCTGGCTCTGGGAAACTATCTCGTCCTCTCGTAATGTTAGCTTCGCTAGCTAGCAGCTCTCGCCAAAGTTTGCGAACCTAAAACCTGGCATTACTTGATGTGTCACTCAATTTCATATTTGTCATGGGGTTGGATTTCTCCAGAATCCCTTACTCCACCTTTAATGTCTGTACCTACTTCCACCCAAAAATTACATTTCAGTTAAATAACTATAAGCAAATACCGAACCACCAAATCTGGATCCACTTTTAATCAATTAAAATGTTAAACACAGAGAAACATTCAGATATATCTTGTTGTTCAGAGGCATAAAAATTAAAAGCTTCGAGAGGGTGATAGTTTTTCCAGAAACACGATTCTAGGAAAGTTTAGGAACATGTAAAACATCAACTTGCAAAAAGGTAACGTTACTAAGCGACTTAAATTTCCTCGAGTCATTTCAGCGCAAATTCAATGGTGAAAATCCTACACCCCTTGAGTTTGAGCATTTGTTAACATTATTTTGTTCAATAAAACCAGTTATTTCACAACAGTTTGGTACTTTCATCTTAGAAAACTTCCAATAAATGAGAAGCAGGTACGCAAAGGTAAGTTATTTTGTTAGGGATTTATTGTGGTTGTGACAAATATTTGACCTTGTCATTGTTAATGCTGCTCAAAGCTTATAAGTGGGTTGTAGCTCCAGGGTTTTAAACATTAGCTGCCATTGAAAATGGTTCTGCTGTTAAAAGAAATCACTGGGATTATAGTGTATAGGATGAGTTAAATTTTAAAAATGAGAGCATAGTGTTGAATGTGATGTTTACATTCTGTGGTATCCACAGGTCTGTTGCACAAAGCATGATTACCCAATTATCTGCATAATATTGTTTACAGAAAACCCACAACAGCTCGATCTCGCAATGAAAAGCCAGATAACTGAATGCTGTAATTCAACAAACCCATGTGTAGATATAATAGAATGGAACCCCAGTCTTCAAGTTGCAAATACAAAACATGTAAATGTGTAACAATAAATAAAATACAATAAGGTGTAAAAATAAAATAGGGTGTGCTTTCACTGCAATTTATCGTTTCATAATAAATTTTGTTCTTTTTGCAACATGAATACCTGGAACCTAAAGCTTCCACATTCAAAACTACACTCTTAACTTCAATACATCCTACACTTTCAAATTCATTCCAATGAGATGGTATTGATTTTTGCTGGTCAAAAGGAATTGCACTTTTGAAGAGCAAATATTGCACAAAATTGTATTGTACGCTACCATTACACAAATTAGATATGAGAATAATAAATTTTAAATAGTATTAGCAATAACTTTGTGCAAAACCTCAAGGGGAGTACAAATAGTTTATACAGCACTGTATAGGACATGCAATTTCACATCTCCAGCAAAGACATGCTTTACCTTGGATACCTGGACTCACAAGCCAAATCTTGTAAGATACCTCTGCTGACACAGTAAGGTGCAATCTTTACCATTTGTGGCAAAGCACAAATTAGCTTTAAACTATTGGTTTTTCAAATATAATGCTCATTATGTGACCCACCAGAAGAAAAACTTTTGTTAAAAATGCAAAAAGCAAAATGCCCTTGAAATGACATCAGTGGGCTGATCTAAGCCTGAGAATCCGATTGTCTTAGCTTAGGAGGAAGATGTGATTTGGTGCCCTGTGTTTGATGGGACACCCAAGGTTTAGGCCAATTCAAAGTGTAACCTGGAGCTTCCTTTTATAGGTGCATCAATGTTCCACAACTTGTTATAAAAAATTTGATGGAAAAAGTATTCAAATGTTTTCCATTTTGAAGAATTTCAAAATGTCCATAGCATATCAAATGAAGTGAAATGAGAGTGCATTGACAACAACACTCCTTTCAAACAGTTTATAAAAAAATAAAGAGCCAATCTAACAATCCGTGTGCCTGCCAGGACAGAACAAAGCAAACACATCAGAACTTTGCAACATACATATTCATTTGTTGTTACAGAACTGGATTAGCGATCCGTTGTAGGATTAAAAACTCTGACCTGTGCCTCGCTCACAACTTGGCAGCAAACATTTGAAAAGAGGACAAAAAAAAATAAAATAAAAACACACTGACAAATGACAATAGCAGTTATGAACGTAATATCAACAGTAAAACAAAATTTGCAAACTTATTTACATTGATCACTTACTAAAATAGAAACATATCATCCATCTTCTCCATCATCCCCTACCCTAGTATGCCAAATGCTATAAATGAACCAGTCACAAAAAAAGGGAACATTTTCTGTCCTTGCAACTTGATATGGGGTAGATGAGTAATATCTGGCCCGGTGTGCACACCAATAAGGTACAATCACAAAGACTGACTTTTAGGCCAAAGATTAGGATGATGAAAGCATATTTTGTTAAATCAAAAAAGAACCATAAAATATTTTGGCAGCGCTTCAAAAGAAACAGAATAGTTCAATTTGGTAAAAAGTCATATGGATATATTTCATTCCTTTTAGTAAGTATTCATTTTCTACAAATGTAATTTTTGTTCAGCCTTACAGAGGTCGTGTCCAACTCAGGAGCTAGAAAAGCATTGCAATAGATTCTGATACTGTTTGAATTAACGGCTGTCCAGTGCTGATGATCAGACCACACAAACCAATGCACGAGTCAGACTTATACAGCACTGAAAATGCTGTAGCAACTCTCTAATAACAGGCCATTGCTGTTAATTTTACAGTCAATTATACTCTCAGTCAGCACCTCATGTAGGACGTTGTAAACGACATATAAAAGGTAGGACTATGGCTTAACTGTCATTAGAAAAATAAAACAGATCACTGCAAGCTCATGATGATGTTGGGAAGTGAAAAATAGTCCTTGTAGTCTCTGTGCTGAATTAGTTTGAGCTAAACCAACACCTGGGTGTCATCACAGCTCAAATGTGCCCCCTACCCTTAGGATGGAGCACCAAAAAGGCTTAAAGAACCCATGAAGTGATTTGTTGCTTCCTAAACAGTTCAAACGCTCAAGTAAATTAAACAGGCCAGAAGGTTTGTAGAAAGTTTACATTCAAAACAGCTAAAACATTTTAGCTGATGTCAGGTTTGAAATACAATACTAAGTGCTATGCCCAGTGGCAGCAGGCCTGCTAAAACTAAATGATGTCTCCATTTCATAATGACAGAAACTAATATCAGATGACTACACCATCATTTATCATGACAGTTTTAAAAGACAACTGTTACAAAAAAAAGGAAATAGAAATATAAAGAAAAAGGAGACAATAACATGAAAACATCTTGGCTGTGCACTGGGTAAGCATTCACTTTCATTCGATGTTTGTAATTTTGGCTGTTTTGGGTGCACTTCTCTCATCGTGCACCACTTTTCACTTCATAGGATCTTAGGTTTGTGCAATTTAGGAGATTTCCACGTTGTCCATTTTCACAGCTCTAACAGGTTAAAGTTCATTCAGCTCTGAGTCTACTTTGCGACGTAACGACAAAACAAATATATATTATGGTTGGGCGATGGGACAGATACATCAGCTATTAGCTATGGACTGAATCTATGGCTGATGGAATTTGTTTGGCTGGTTTCAATTCACCAAAATGTGTTCATTCGTATATATGGAGCACCAGGATTGAGGGCTTTAAAAAGTGATGCAAATGTTTAACTACTAAGAACACAGATTCTATGCCACTAGTAGTTGGAATGGAGCCGGCAATATGATGCTTCATCCAATAATAGCCTGCACAGTATCCTAAAAGCATAAAACACATTACCTGCACTCCAGTGTGATCTGTTTAGTGGCTTTGTAAACCAGTGGTTTACTGCAGCTTTGAAGATACAACACACAGTTGGTCACTTAGCTAATGAGGTGAATACACCATCAAACGAGAGTTCAAGTGGCCAATTGGAAAAGTCTGCCCTATTGTCCAACCCTAATATGTATAATGTATTGTGGTGTGGTGGCCCAGAACAAAGTTATGAATGTAAAGATATATGGCCAGATATTCAAACACATGTTATGGCCATGCATCAAAGTGAGGCATCATTAGCACTAGGATAGTCCAAAGAAACGATCAGATGAGCACCTCTTCCACAGTCTGCCAAACTGTGACGTTTGGCTCCAGGATATGCATTGTGGAGTCCTATCTGAGTTTGTCCAATACGTTTTTAAGGATTTGAAGTCATAGAGGATTCTGATAGGTGTCTCTTCTCCACAGATCTCATCTTTACGAAATGAATTCTACTTTTGGTCCCATTCCCCCTTTCTGAATTTTATCTTCAGCATCTGAGTAGCTGGAGTATCTGTTAAGGTTTCAGATGATTCCTTGCAGTCCAGGGTGGCTGGCTGGTGGTAGTTTAGGCTACTCACATTCAATGATTTTCAAGGCAGGAGCGGTCATTTGTGAAATAGGTAGATTGGCCTCTGAAAACCTGTTAATTGATGGAAAACAAGTTAAACATGACATCAAGCTACATTGGCAAATAACATGTAATGCATGAATTTGATCTGACATATTAGAGAATTACCTCTTATAGAACACTTGGGGGCCCCAAGGTGCTCAAAACTGGTGAAGCCCACCTCAGTTGTAAGATACGATGAAAACTGGTCAGGTTTGAGTTGGATGCTGTGATAATTCCTGCTAATATTATCCTGTCAAGTGAGAGGGAAAACATTTTTTTCTTATATTTCAGCCAATAAAACCAATCTTTAAAATCCTGTCATCTCAATTTCTTACCGTCAGCTTCTTCCTCCTCACATACGACTCCCAGGGCTGTGGCTCCAGGATGAACATGCCTCCTGGACGAAGATGTCTGTAGACTCTCTTGAAGAGCCGTTTGAGGCCACTGTCTCCCCAGTTTAGATGAACCCATTTGGTAACACTCAGGCACATGATCACATCGTACTCTGGCCGCTGAGTCAAAAGAAGATTATCGTTTTCCAGTACATAATTAGCCTAAAAGGAGAGAAGGGCTTGTGGTGAGAAAAACGTGGCCTTGACAAACTATTTTGTGCTACTTAGTGCTATGACGGTAATGAAGTAAAGACTTTCTGAAACATAACATTAGGGTCACAGCCACAGCTGAGAATCTGGTATCTTAAAATCTTATTTGAATGGCCTTCATAAAGATTTATCCTTTGCTTTTGAGTCTGTTGGGCAGTAGAGTGCAGCGATGTGCCGATCCACCCATTCATTTTAAAAAATCATCACTTGCATATCAGACAAGTTTCAGGAGAGAATGAGAAACAGCAAATGCACTGGACAGAGGATGCATAATAAAAAGTGACGTCCAAAACACTGAGAAGCTTTAAGATTTTTAAATCCATCCTACAAATGGTTATCAAAACACACCTTTCTCATAGCAGGCATTTTGAAATGTCGTATCAGGAAAAGCACAGGTGGGGTTTGATTTATCACACAGCCATCAAGGGTAATAAAAGGGTTAAAATGTTCCTAGTAATCAATGAAACAATTATTGGCAATTTAATTATGTGGGAACTGGTGAAAAAGAAAAAGCACCTGCTATATTAAATCAAACATGATTCCCTACAACTTTCCACACTATAACCTGACACCAGGGTAGGTTTGCCAAACAAATAGGTAGGCAGCCTTCTCCCTCCAATCAATCGTGTACTGTGCAGGCTGAGGGAGTCAGACCTGTGCTCCTTCTGGCATGTTGTACGTTTGAAGGCTTTTCTCTCATTTACAGCAAAAAGCTCTGCTGCACTGCCATGATCTCTAATGCTCATAGAAGGGAGGAGGCAGTCATCGATTTTCATACAGAAACACTATGGATACATCTAAACAGTTCATGTAGCTGCCTACACAATGCCTGTAAGGCACAAAGCCAGTGAAGAGACTATTACATTAATAAAACAGTCGATGAGAAATCTTTATATTTATAGGAGAAAAACTTTCATAGTACTTAAATTCTCAACCGAAGGTGTCACACAATAGGCCGATGCCATTAGAAATGCATCCAGCCACATCGCAACATCAGCCTGATGACAAGGACAGACTGCTTCCTCTTTGCTGCTTCCATCTTTCACTTCCTAACATCACCGGCAGCTTCAGAAAATTGTGTGCCTCTGGTAGGAACCACACACAGTGCGGTGTGCGACACACAAAACGATGTAAAGATGGACAAACTAAAGGAAAACTCCATCCATAATGACAGCAAATAAAGTGCCTCTGAAAATGAAACTGATGCAGATGCTTCCTTATTTAAGGATCTAACCATAAAAGAATATGGCCAACATGACTGCTTTATTTATTTATTTACATTATATATTTCTTAACTTATCAGAGGATCCTTTTGAGGAGCAGAGTAGCTTTTGTTGAACAAAACAACAATTGCATTGTAATGTAATTAATTTGTCAAAGTTTCCAGTGATTCCCAAATGGATCTTAAATTCCCAAAAGTAAGGAATGTTCCAACAATGCCTGGTAAGTTAATACCATGTGCGTCTTGTCCAGATAAGCTACATGGTGCAACCTGCATGCTATAGTGAAAGTGACTGTGCTGTGACAATGCTATCCCTATTTAGAAGCAAGACAATTATCATTATCAGGTTTCAGGGAGCATAAGTGGGTGTCTGTCAGAGTGTTTCCCATAACATGCATTACTCTTCTAGTAAGTATTTTCGGGTGTGTTATAAAATGTTTTACAACGGATAACGGCTAGTTGCTTTACTCATGCCGTTTGAATTAATGAATATATAAGATGCAGACAGTGGCTAATTGTGAAATACAGATTTAGTTTTTACATTAATCAAGGCTCCCGAGATGAAATAACATGACAACCTCATTCATGCTGCCACCAAATGTTCACAGAGAATGCGGTCTTACCTTGATGAAGGACACATTTGAGGGGAACTCCCCCGGCCGTGTGGTGGATGTTTCTGTCAGTGGAGGTGCAGCAATCGGCCCCCTGGAGATCCGCAGGGACACAGGAAAAGAGCAGCTCACAGAGTTATCAGCAGGGGGTGAATCACAATCTCCCTGCTCCATTTCTTCTGTTTTGCTGTCCTGCCTCTGGGCCCCTGCCTCATCTGCGTGACAGGAGTCATTGTCATTTACAGCCTCTGCAGGGCCACTTTCTCCTTTCACTGGTTTCCCATTTTCAACCCTGCTCTCGGCTTCACTGTGCTTCTTGTCTGTGCCATTTCCATTCCTCTCCTCCAGTTTAGTGCTCTGCATTGCACGCCTGGCCTCTTGGGTCTGCAGTTCAGACAGATAATGTCTGATGTTTTTACGCGCCGCATGTACAAGACCACTGTCAATATCCAGGCCCAGTATGCGGGCAGGTCTTAGCATTTTGGCAATATAGAGTGTTAGGTGGCCTGAGTTGCACCCCAAATCCAGAACGTCTTTACCTTCAAACCATTCTGGACGAAGCACACGTACCCGTGGGTCTTCGCTAGCTCCTGGGTTGCGGTAGCCATAATACTTATTGTAGTTCCCATACTGGAACTTCTTCTGTTGCTCCTTCGCCTGATTGTGGGGCTGCTGGTGCTGGCGACCTCCTGGCCCCGTCTTGGGACCACACTTTGGTGTGTGAAAGGACTGAGAATTTCTCAGCCCCCCTGTGCCACAACTCCTGTCTCCAGATCCTGACTTTCCAATCGGTGTGGAATGGGTCACTGGGGGCTCCATTTTGCCAGAGTTGCGCCTACGCTTGCGTCTGCTTGTGTGATGGTTCGGCCCCCCCAACATGGAAGAAGTGGAGTCCTCCATAGATACAGATGTCATCTGCTCCTTGCAGCTGGCTGAGCTGTCAGCTGAGTGCTCATGGGAATCCCCTGTGACACTGGAAAAACTGTTTGACTCTTTGGAGACATCTAGTGCAGAGCATGAGGCTAACATACCTGGAAGTGGTGTAGAGGTGCCAGTTTTAACCTCACTTTTTGCTGATTCTGAGAGGCTGATCTGTGTGGTTGAAACCCCACTACCACCACCTCCTCCATGGTGTCTGTTGCGGTGTCTCTTCCTGCCACCACTCTTGTAGGGGGACATTAAAAAGCTGCCGCCTGCTATCCCGCTGTTCAGGTTCAGCGGATCTGTGATGTCTCTGGGGATGAGGATCTCCACGGGGTCTCGACTCTTCGCTGGCAGCGGAGAGGATTTGGGGGTCTCTGCATTCAGTGCCTTGTTGACCTCCTCATCCAGCAGGCTGTTGAGATTCAGTGGGTCAAAAATGTTCCCACCCAGAAGGAAGTTAGTAGGCAGGACAGAGTCACTCTCAGAGTTGGCCCTTCGTCTCCTCTTGCCAGATGTTGGATGCTTGAAACTAGCGTTTGCTGTGTTGCGGCGCTTTGTTAGTTTCGTTTGCTGCTGTTGTTTGGAATGATGTAAGGTGCTCCTGCGATTGATGTTATTCTCGTTCCCTCTGGCTCTTTGTTCAGCATCGTCTGAGTGGGTATGCGTGTCAGTCGTGCAATTGTGTTTTGGCGCGGCTGCAGTTCCCAGGACAGGACAAGCAGCTGCAAAATCAGGGGTGGCTGCGGTACCCTCCGCCATCACAGATGTCTTGCTGTAACCTCCGGTGCATTCTGAGAGCTGCAGAGACGGCGCCGAGCTGGCCTGTGGACTGCCAGTTTTTACAGTATCTTCATCAACAGACATCTCTTTTGGTTTCCGGAGCTGATGCAGACATGGAATTTTTTTCTGGATCTGAAAGTCAAAGAAAACATCTGTCAAATTAAAAACTTTGTGTAGTATGGTGAACAATTTTACATAAAATGAGGTGCCTTCCTATTGATGCAATCACATACTCGCAACTGCAAAGTAAAGTCACTCATACTAACACAACTACTAGGTTATGCTTCTTGACTCAAACTTAAGTCCATGGACCTGCACACTTAAAAAAAGAGGGTCAGTTTAAGTTCAAGTCGTCACGTTATCAAATAACCCTTTACTTCCCAGTGTCATTTCCTAACAGTGTTACAATGATACAAGAAAGTGTCCGTTTTAGATGCAGAGTCTCTAGGACTACGCCATTATCAGGTTAGGGATCTGACATCTAAAGTGTGTCTACTCGGAGGTTACTGACCTGAAAAGTTTAGCACTCCCTGTGTTGCATAGTTATCTAGTTAGCAAGCTAGCTCCTAGCTTCTCTATCGCGGGCCAGAAGACTGAAACGTCGACTAAACGTTCAGCTCCTCTCCGGCCAAAAAAAGCGTTATTAGACAACCAGTCAAAGCCCACCTCGATATGCTGCTGCCCGAGCCTCACTCTCACCGCAAGTCACATTTATGAAAGTGATACTATCAAGCAGATGGCCACATATTCGCTTACAGTCAACAGTGTAGTCACCATCAAAGTAACAGTCTCACCTCACAGTTCTCCCCGCCTCCGGCCGGACTGTCACTACCGCGCACTCTCTCGACTCGAGCTAACGTTAGCGTAGCTAGCACACAAGTGTCCCCGCAACAACACAACACAAGCACACACAAGTGAACACAGCGCGGGTGTTGCGTCCTCGTCTGTCCGCGATAAAACGCTCCTCTGTCCACCAAACTGTCTTGTCGACTTCTTCAGTCAACTCCTAGTCGCCCAGTGTGAGACAGGTTGGTGAATAAATTATTCCATTCGCTGAGAGAGTCGGCATGGCGGCGCATCCGGGCTCCGAGCTGCAGCCCAAGATGACTGGGTTCGAGATCGCCGACTGGGAGGAGATAATAATGAACCTCACCAAAGTGGTGGGCTGCATCTACCCAGTCTTTTCTTTAACCACTGAGTAAATTATTGTTAGAATTAATCAATTAACTGTGAAGTCGGATTGTTTGGTTAGAAGATAAGGAAATGGCAAAACAACAACAACCTAACATTTTGATTTAAAACCGAAAAAAGCTGGTAACTGAATGTTTAGAATTTTCCTTGATAAATAACTGATAAAATTGTTGACTTCAGATACCATGCAGTATCCATATGCATACATTATCTTTTCTTTTTACTGCATTTTAATAAAGTGTTGTGTTTTCTTGCTTTTATCGTGTATCTTTTTATCTGTTTTATGCATGTTATATTGTCTTTGCACTTGTGAAAGCACTTTGCAACATGTTTTTTGAAAAATGTAGTTATTATTATTATTATAGAGTAACGTTAGGCCTACTTTTGAAAGATTTTCAACTCAAAATGTAATTATTACTGTACATATCTATAAGTTTAAACATACAAGTTATGTTTTTGTTATAGGGCAACACATTACTGACAAAAAGGAACATTTTCTTTCTGAAGATTCTAATTGCCATAATGCAAAACATTTATGTTTAGCCAAGTTCTTCTCAGACCTTTACAAATACAGTTACATTACATATATTGAGTTGGAAATTTTAGATTAGTCAACAAACTAGAACATTTTGCCGTTCTAGTGTTTATTAATAAATGCAATGTGCAGAAATTACTAGAATTTTAAAGTGCATTTTAAACAGTCATAACAAAGTAGCATAATTGCAGCCTCTTGCAGTTAGATTACGGATTCTAAATCCCAAAATGTATCTTCATCTTTTTCCCACTTTTGTCTTCACTCTGCACAGATGGAGTAGTGACCTATGAATATGGAGGTATATAATGTGAATGCAACTTCAAGCTTATGGTAAGGTTGCACACAAAATCATTGCCAAATTTTGGATGTTGCTATATGTCTTTTAAAACTCAAAGACTTCTTGGTTATTTTGTTAGCAACAGCATCACAACTATGGCTAAAATCCACACACTGGTTGTTTGTAACTTCAAGGCCACAGTCTACAAGGTAGCCTTGTTCACCCTATCATTGCTCACCTGACCAGTGTCTAGAGTACGCCTGAAATTAAAGCTCTGGCTGTGAACTAAGAGGACATTTACCTGAGGTAGCAAGGCGGCTTCTAGTCACTTTGTTGTCCACATAATTGTGGTCATTCCCTACGACATTACACCTGGTGACGAGGTATGATAAAGGGCAATGTTTAGCCCTCAGGTTGAAGATGCATGGTTTGGAGCAGCACATTGGTGAGTGCTGCTGAAGCCAAACACATTCTCTAGATGACTTTGAGCTTTAATTTGATCCACCTGTCATCTGAATCATCTTTTTGACCTGAACCTCAAAATTCTGGGGGTGAGGACGTTTTACACCTTAATGGTATAAATATAATTCTATGCACATAAGTTATATAATATATAATCTTTATTTATAGAGCACTTTTCAAAAACCAGTTACAAAGTTACTTAAGACTAGAATACACGTTTAAAATAATATAAAATATATATATAAAAAAGTAAAGTAAAAAGGCTCTCCTATAAAAGTATGTTTTAAGAAGGGACTTAAAAGAGTTCACTGACTCAGCCGACCTGATTTCCTCGGGCAGGCTGTTCCAGAGGCTCGAGGCCCTGACAGCAAACGCTCTGTCCCCTTTAGTTTTCAGTCGAGACTCTGGAACAGACAACAGACCTCTGCCCGAGGATCTCAAGGTACGTGCTGGTGTGTATGGGACTAAACGGTCAGAAATATAACAAGGTAAGAGGCCATGAAGAGCTTTAAAAGTGATCAATAAAATTTTAAAGTCAATTCTAAAACATACTGGGAGCCAGTGTAACGAAGCTAAAACAGCGGTAATGTGGTCATATTTCTTTGTTCTGGTTAAAAGCCTGGCAGCTGAGTTCTGGACAGTCTGGAGTCGATCAATAGATTTTTGGGTTAAACAAGTGAAAAGGCAGAGGTAGTGCTTATACAATTGTGTGTGTTGCCATATATGCCATATATGTTGTTTTATGTAGTCAGAGTGACAAAAAAAAGGATAACAAAAGAGTAAGATTGGTAAACATCACTATTTCTGGAGTCCATGCAAGCAACTTTACAAAGACAACACAAAATACCGAAAATAAACATCTCTCAACACATACTCTCATGCAACACAACACATGCTCTCAAATTAGACAGGTACCTATATAGTAAGCACATTAACTCTTTCTTCCAATGGCAGTTTTTGATTGTACAACCCTGTCGGCTGCATTCACTGCAAATGTAGCACAGCCCTTGCACAATGAGATAATGCACACCCCTAATAGCCTATGTATTGCACAAATGACATATTGAACAATCCAATAACTATGTATTGCATAACTAACATATTGCACAGCCCCAATAGCTTACATGTTGCACAAATGACATAGACAAGCACCGCGCCACCGGAGGGAGTATGTGGTTTATGTGTAGAGATGCATCAAGTGAAATAATCACTAAGGTGTAACGTTTGATATATGCAATTTAGTTGTGTTTCGTTTTTTTTTTTTCATTGAGAGCACACACACAACAAGGTGCAGACCAGTATGACCTTAAATACAAGTTGATTCAAACAAAACACATCACACAACTCACCTCCAATACACCATGCGTTATACCATGAAGGATTTGTTGCTATTTTATAGCTATAGAGTATGAAATCAGGGTGGTTTATTGTAATGAATACAAAATAGTTGAAAATATTTGGGTAATCAAGCATGTTACGATGGAGAGATGTGTAATATCTGTAATTCTGAACTAGTTCAGTTATGTCAGCAATACAAAGTTTTCTTTTTAAATGCATACACCTGAATATAGAATGATTTGCACTGAAGGTTTAAAGCATTATACCCTAATTTTCCGCTGTTTCCTGCACTTATTCCTTAAAGTAGAGCTCAGAACAAGGGAAGAGGGCATGAGCCACTCTTTGCAATTAAAGTAATTAATTATTTCTGTTTGGTTTAAGTCATTTAGTTTTTTGTCAATGTTCCTCAGTAAATGTCTGACACAGTAAGTATGTAAAGAGATAAGGTGATGAAGGTGAATTTAATAGAGATTCTGTCCCCCAAGTAGCCACTAGGGGGAGACTATATATGAGCTTAACAGTATGCTGGACATCACAGGCTGTATGTACACCTACAGAAATACAACTTAGTGGAATTTCTTTTTTTTTCTCTCACCCTCCTTCTCTCTAGTCTATTGTTTTTAATGACACTGTGTGATGGTAATTGTAATGATTTCATTATCGCTGCAAATTTAAATGTTGTAGTTCAGCTTTACCAAAATGTTGGTTTAGTTTGGAAAACAATAAATAAAGTAAGACATTTCTTTTCAGAAAGTAATATTATGGTAATGAGAAATTCTCACATTGCGGTTGGTATGATTAATGAGTCAAAACAACATGAGCAGCCTCATTCCACCCAGAGAGAGGATCCAGCACTGGAGTCTGCAGCTGTGGCAACATGACTGTTTATGTTTTTAGGTAAAAGATGCCTCCAGTGGAAAGAAAGGAAAACACCACCAGCCCTCAAGGAATCTATCAAGCTTTTGTTTAGAAAAGCTAATGGAATCTGTAAGATCATGTTAGGCTGGGTTTTTTATTACTATAGGCTGGAATTTTTTGGCACACCATCTTCCTCCAAATTATCAAGGGAATTTAGCTTTACCCGGTCCAGAAACATTCAGGAAAACCCAGAGATATTTTATAGTTGGAGCTTGATTTTCTTGCTTTTTAACAACATATATATTTCCAAATAACAATTAATAAGTACTCTAACAGCTTTATCGTAGCCAGCGGCAGATCCCTCTAGCAACATTAAAACCCATTATATAGTACATCCACTTAAATCTGAAATGTATGCAGATTAAAAAAAACATTTTACCGATATAACCCCCTGCTGGCATTTACTCTTAAGAGTATATCTTTATAAAAAAAAAAAGACATCACATGGCCTGTTATTCAGTCAACAATTATAGCAGTAACACACACTGTTTATAATAAAAACCTCAAATAGTTTCTTTTCATCCATAATGTAATAAAAAGATTATCTTGAGTAAGTTACTCTTGGAAGCTACTATAACACAAGCAAAATGAAATTGACTAAATAAGTGATGGACTGGAACTGTTATATATGGATAAGAAACTGCATTTTTTTATGCAACTGTAGATAGGATTTTCTTTAATCAAACAGGATCCTTGCACTTGATATTCTCTGCTGTTGAGTTGACAGCATGCTCCTAATTGGGTTCCAAATCAGTGCCACAGACTCTGTTGGGTAAATGAGTCACCCCCTCTCTAATCTCTATAGAAGGGGAAAATGGGAGAGAGGGTACCTGTTCCCCCGCCTCTGTCTCTCTCTTTTCTCATGTTAATGGAGGTGCGGTCCGCGATCCCGGGGACCATCTGCCTTTCCTCAGGGTTTGGGCCCCAAGCACTCCAGACGTGTCCCATTGTTTGTGTGTGTCGAAGCAGAAAGTGGTGAGCAGACATGGTTCTTGTGGCCCAAAAGGCCCCATCAACAGCACGAGCCTGCTGTTCATTAGCCCACATGTGACAGAGGGAGGGGGCTGCTCGCGTGCCCTGTCTTCAGTAACATCAGGGCCATCCGTCGATTGTTCTGCTGCGAGTAACCGTTGGCTGAGGGATGACTTGACAGGTCATCATGCGGGTTGGCTCCTTTGTGTGTCTTTTTCATAAGTACATTAAATCAGAAATATTGTGAATGATTACAGGTCTTTTAACCAGTTTGTTGTGCTTTGAACGTACTGCATAATTCATTGATGTTTGGCCAAAATCTAATGATAATGTGTGGTGGACAAACAAATGAATAGACAGTCATGACTTAAACTTCCCAACTCCATCATCTGCACAAAATAAAAATATCATTACATTTTACATTTTAACTTTGAATTAAACCACAGACCACAAAAATAAAATCGTAAAAACACATAAACAATAAAAAACAAAGGCTTTCTGGGTGTATTAAGACAGAGAAGTTCTGTAAATACATCTTACCCACTACACTGATTTGAAGAAAGTGCATATATTGCTTTCCATGAGCTAATTAGTAGCTTTATTGACATACATCATCCCCACTGAGCTCAGTCAAAATTTTGTGTCTTGAGATGTGACAG